TAGATAGATAGATAGATAGATAGATAGATAGATAGATAGATAGATAGATAGATAGATAGATAGATAGATAGTGTTTAATATTCATATCATGCAGATATGTGTGTGCAAAGAAATCATTTGGAAAGCAACTGAAGTGATTACATTTAGTCAAAGGATCCTGTTAAACTGGTTGATATCCACAACATATCCTTATTCAATCAATCTTTAGTTTTTGTCTCTAATGAAACTCATCTTTCTGAAGCCACTCTTAGAATACTGTGGGAAAAGTAAATATAGGAAATGCTCTTAGAAAATAACAAAATATTAAAAGATATGAGTCATTTAAAGGTAACAGACGTTAATCTAGAAATAAATACATAACTCACAATCAAATAAATGAATTCATTTTCAGCTGAAATAACGAAGAGGATTTAAAATTGAATGGCAACTAATTTAAATGAAAATTCATGCAGATTAATATTACAGCAGAAAAATATGCATATAGTAGTAGATCATTTTTCATATCTTGTATAGTAACGTATTTTCATAATAATTTATCCATTTAAATTTTTGGGTTTATCTTTAATTTTCAGTTTCAGTCCCAAATACGACCCAGTTTGTAGAAAAATGTTTGGAGTTTATATGTAAATGACATGCTTATGACATTGAAGTAAATTTACATTTTTAATCTCGTTAATCATTTTTGTTTTTTGAATATCTGTTGAGCTTGCATTTATGACATTTTTAAATTTAAATTTTTTTTGTTTAATTTAGGAAATTCTTTAAATCTTTTTATAGCAGAATGTCAAACAAGAAATAATATAGCTATGGTAATAGGTAACATTGACACACAAATCCGAAATGCATTAAGAGTCGTCTATTGAAAGTGAGCTGTTATTAGCTGATTATGTGAAATTTTCAAAATAATTCTTACAACTTTCAACAACAAAGCAAATGCATCTATAGCTATCCTAACCCAGAGCATTCAGCTAATACAGTAACGGGGATAACACGTAATTTCTCTCTTGCAAACCCCAAAATGACTACATTTTAATAATTATGGTCACATATGTTATTATGCCAGAAGATTTACATCAGGGATTCCAAAAGTGTAATGTAAAATGTAATTGCGGTCAGGTAATTAGTGTTTTTCCACACACAATGAAAATGAGTAAATAAATATTTCCTTTGAAATGAAAATGGACAACTGTACTTTAATTAGATAAAAAAAATGTTCACTCAAAAATGTTTTTGTTTAGTATAAGTCTTATTCTACACTTCGTTTTAAGATGAAATATAGAAGAAGTTATCTTGTTCCATATACTGTCCGGTATATTCACACTTAGCTTGTGGCCTCTCCTTCATTCATTCTTGCAAATATGCTTAATTGGCTAAAATCTGGGAAACTGTAAGGTGAGACATTTAGGGTCAAAGTTAGTGATGAAGGGGGAGAGGAACCAAGAGAGGGTGACGAATCAGAGGCAACGGAGGAGAAAGAAGGATGAAGGAAACGAGCGGGAATCAGAAAATGATGAGCCAAAGAGAAACACAAAGGAGAGAAATAGATGGCAAAAAGGCAAAAAGGTGAAGAGGGGAACACCAGACAGGGAAAAAATAGAAGCAAATATGAAGAAAAATTATCTGGGTGATAGAGACTGCCCATAGCTGCAGTGTGTGGTGTGCTGTGAGGAGCTAGCAAATGGCTACCTGAAGCCTTCTTATCGCCACCTTGGTAGATGGGGTTGTGTCAACCCGGTTAGGACACAGAAGGGGGTGCGCGGCTTAGGAAGTTTGGGAACCGCTGATATACATGGTATTTCGACCATCATTTGTTCTCTATATAACTGATGAGGTATTTTATTTTTCTTCTGCTCTCATTCTGGCAGGTAGTACAATGCTGCAGGGAGGGTCAGAAGGCAATCATGGCTGCACCTTTAACCCTTTGGTTGTAGTGGAGCTGGCCTCAAACACCAAAGAAGAAGCTATTGTGTGGCTGCTGAGCAAGATAAGGACCAGACAGCAGAATGGAGGTGTGATAGATCCTCAGTTGCTGTTTCATTCTGGTCTGTTGCATTCATTTGTATCAATCCTGTCAACTATTTCAGGTGCTGGGCTGCTCATCGAACAGTTAGGGCCTGGGGTTTTGGCTCATGAAAAGGAAAATCGCAACGTGTATCTGGTGGGTGCCTCTAGGGAGAGGCTACTCTTTGGTGCGGAAGATGTGGGCCTGTTTAAGGAATATAATGACGGGTCTATGAGGTGCTTTGGCTTTACCAATAAACAGAACTTCAAAGATTTCAAAGGTATTTGTTGTTTATTTTTTAATAAGAATATAAAACTATTTAATTCGCCAAGCATTTGTGCTCTACCATTCTTTGTGTCAGCTATTGCAAGGTCACAATTTGATGCTTTGTCAAATTCCATTAGACAGCGACCAAACACATAGAGGATAGGAGTAGCTCAGAGGAAAGAGCAGGCACCTGCTTATGAAAAGGGTGATGATTAGATTCTGGGCTATATGTTCACATGTCCTTGAACAAGACATTGAACCCCTCATTGCTTAAATATACCTTTAACCGCTATCCTTCGGGGGCAGGAAGCTAAATATGTAAATGTCATACGCAGTATAATTTATCAGTAAATAAACAATAAACTTGCGTGACAAATTTAGACATGACTTGTGTTTAATAATGGATTACCTGATGGAAATAAACCAAGATGTATAGTGATACTGCTTTTGATAAGTCTTTGGTCTCAACTTCATGATGACAATGTGTTTGCATTGCATCTCTGATATGCCTTTTCTGTCCAGGGGATGGAGATGGGTTCCTAAGCATGGCAGAGTGTCAGTACATTATCAAACATGCTCTGGAAACACTGCGAGCCAAAGATGAGATGCATGTACCAGGATACAGCCAGGCTAAGCTATACCCTGGGAAATCAATCAGTGAGTTTTTGTCTGATTGCTAGTCACATGTTTAATATTAATATTCCAATATCTGTCGTTCCTTCAGTTCTATAGTACAGTCATACTTTAAACCTGTTGAACATGCTGCAGTGAATGTTTTAATGCAAATCTGTACAAATCCATAACAATGATAAAAGATTGCACTTGGTTGACATTTTTAAGCGAATAGGTGTATGGGCCCTTGGTGTTGGCATAACAAAAGTCCGGTGTTTTATTGTCTCCGGTGGAGCAAAGTAGGGTGAAAGTGGGCAAAGTAGCTGATGGAGAGGCATGGCTGAAATCACTTGAAAGAAGAAGGAGGGCTGGCGGATGTTGCGTCTGTAGCTGACCTGCAACGGACTGGATGATGTCGCAGGCCACATCAGCTTTAGCCAATGGTGGAATGTATGCTGCTATCACGATAGCATGCAAACATTCTCAGGACAGGTAGCATGGCCTCATGCTAATGGCTAATGTGTAGTGTTCTTGCAACAAAGTTGGTCCTTATTAGTGTTGTGCCCAGAATTACATAATCTATCATTCACAAACACTACCAGACCTTTTTCCTTACCTTTTACAGTTCTCCTTTGTCCTGTCTGCCCTCAGTAGCTCTTATCCCTGAAGTGTAGTGGCCATATCTGAAGTCTGAGTGATCAGACATGTTCCATAAACCCCATGATACTACACTCCCAGTACTACCTCTGGTGTCAGGTCACTCCCCTTAACTCGTCCATCTTGGAGAGAGATCTGGCGTACCCCATGATAATAGACTGGTGTACTCGTTTAAATGTTTTTCTACTGTTGCGGTGCTGAGCTCTGGCAGGGCTCCCTGGTTTTCTCTTCGCTTCAGGCTCCTCACAAGGCAGCACTGATGAGTTATGAACCGCCAACAGCCGATCCTTACTATACACAATCGTGTACAACACTGTAGTTGGTGCACTCAGTATTCTATTGTGGAATTGTATTTCGAAAGAAATGTCAGCTCAAATACACTTCAGATATGTTGAACTGATGATTCACTATGAAAGCGCATAAAAAGTCATAAAAACATTTTTAAAAGAAAGAAAAAAAGAAGGGGGCACAGTGACAATTAAAAGCTGCTGCAAAAGTCTGCCACTATATACCATATATTGACAGAAAGCACACACTCTCAGCTCTCCATTAGCATTGTTGTCATCTTTCAGATAATGAAAACTGTGACAGAGTTACAACAGTAATACTCTGGACATATGATCCAGCAACAGGTTTGTGTTGAATTACAATTTTAGGACAAGAAACTTGAACCAAGAACTAAACTCAGCAAAATTAAAATAAATTATATTCAAATAAATAACTTACTGTTCACTTTTCTCTTGTTTTTTTATTTTACATTTTAGTTCGGAGGCTACTGTCCAATGGCATCCTGATCCAAATTTTTCCTCTGCATGAAAAAGAAGAACTGAAGAGACTATCTTTTTCTTGGTATAAAAGATTCAAGTTTTCCTTTCAGCCTCTTGGTAAGGAAGGAATGCCTCATTGTTTTATTCTGTCTCTTGTCAGCAATTGTTAATGAGACCATCATTATGGGTTTTATGTTTATGTTTATGCATTTGGCAGACGCTTTTATCCAAAGCGAATTACAGAGTAGACACAATATTACATTTCTCATCACTATGACAATAAGCTATATAGAGGAGAAACACTGATCAGAGTCAGTGGTGACAGCAAGAGATAGAGGTAGAGGGGACCACAGAAGGAGCCTCTTAGGGTCAGGTTGGTCCATCTGCTGAAAACAACATAGAGCTCAAGTATTATAAATGTAAAATATTAAGAAAACTATCTACCTTTGCACATGGATAAATCAGTCTGTTTTTAAAATAAGATCAATTTAAAAAATGCATACGAGACAGTGAGGAACATGGATATTTGTGTTAAGTAGTCATTTTAAAAGAGGATGGCTGTTTTCTACATCTCTACAATGTTCTGTAAACCAATTTCATGCCTCTGCATAGGAAGCCTAACCCTAACCCTAAACCCCTAAACCCCTAAAGTTAGTAACTGCAGTGTTCTATACAATTAACGCACGCTAACATAATAATTATTTTCCTGGCTCAGATCCTGCACAATTTGATTATTCTTGTTTTTTTATTTGTTCAGGTCTTAAGTACATTTCAGTTTCTATTAATTTATGTTATGCCTTGTTTGCCCCCAAATCACGACCCTGTTCCTGTTACTCCTGCTGTGGATTCCTTTCATTTTCACCTTTATATTCTCAGATGAAATCAGACACTACTATGGTGAGGGACAAGCACTCTACTTTGGCTTTCTGGAGTACTTCACAATTGCCCTGTTACCCATGGCCTTAATTGGAGTGCCTTACTATCTTTTTGACTGGGAAGATTATGACAAATATGTAGTATTTGCCATCTTCAACGTGGTCTGGTGCACACTTGTCCTTGAGGTATGGTCACTTTTATTCACTTTTATTCAACCGACTCATTAATAAACCACAAAGGGTCAGATCAAAAACGTTTAAAATAATAAAATGTAATTGTAAAACACATGCTTTACTTCAGGTCAACAATTATATGTGAATATATACGATCATTGTAGACAATGTAACTGACAATTGATCCACTGTCTTACAACAAAAATATTTTGATATCAATTGTATTATTATGAGGCAGCACGGTGGTGTGGTGGAGGAACTGACACACCGAAGGAACTGACTTCCTCCCACCTTCCAAAAAAACTGCATGTTATGTTGACTGGACATTCCAAATCGGCCTTAGGTGTGAATGTGAGTTTGCACGGTTGTATGTCTTTGTGTTTCTCTGTGTGGCAATGGACTGGCAGACCGTCCAGGGTGTATGCTGCTTCTCACCAATTGACTACTGGGATAGGCTCCAGTCCCCCCACCTGTGGAAAGGTGGTTTCGTGGTTAGCACCATAGACTCACATGCTAATATTTGGCTGGGGCCTTTCTGGATGCTCACTCTTTGTGTGGATATTTTGGTGCCCTATGCCCTGAATATGTAGTTAGCAGATATAGGCTATAGTGAATGAATTATAATTTAATTTGCTATATCCCTGTCATATTACTCTCACTAAATTACTTACTAAATGACCAAGAATGCTACAGTTGGTGTTACATAATTGTTGAATCCTTCCTCCACTAGTTATGGAAGAGATGCAGTGCTTCGCTAGCCTATCGATGGGGTACATTGAGCAAGAAAAAGGCCTTTGAAGAACCTCGACCTGGCTTTCATGGCACCCTTGGGTTGAACCTTGTGACGGGCCGTGAGGAGCCTCTCTACCCAAATGCCAAGCGTCAGCTTCGTATCTGTCTGGTGTCCCTGCCCTTTGTACTGCTTTCTCTTTATCTGTCATTATACATTATGATGATTTACTTTCAAATGGAAGGATGGGTGCTGTCTGTTCATGATGCTGAGCCTACCTTCTGGACAGGAGTACTTTCATTCATTCCCAGTGTTATCTATGCTGTGGTAATTGAAATCATGAACCTGATCTACAGATATGCGGCCGAGTTCCTCACTGAATGGGGTAAGATGTCTACTCTGACCAAGTTTTACTGGAATGAACCCTCAAGACAGATCAAATATCCCAAATACATATTTTCGTAACTAGGCTAAAATGTTTATCCCTCTGTGTATTAAGAAAATCACAGGCTGGAGTCCTCATATCAGAATCACCTTGTCCTTAAAATATTAGTCGTAAGTATATGACCTATTAAGGTTTTAGACACATCACATGGCAGTGTCAAGTTTTAAACATCAAATACAACTTTTTCTTGTTTCAACTTCAATCTGTTGTTTTGATTATTTTCTGTTTAGTTCAACTTTTTCAACTGTTTTGCTTCACTGTTCTACATTGCCTTTGTCGTGCAAGACATGGTTCTACTGAGACAGGTAATTCTGCTTTTTTATTTTTGTGCTTAATTCTTTATTTCTGACTGACATGTAATGTTCACTTCACATCCTCGCTCTGACTAACCTTTTCATCTCACTTTTCATCTTCTTTTCTGTCCTAAGAGCCTGGCCACCTTGCTCATCACCAGTCAGATCTTAAATCAGTTAATGGAAGCCTTCCTACCCTACTGGCTTCAGAGGAGACGCAATAAAAAGATGATTCATAAAGTTCAAATGAAAAAAATTAGTGAAGATAAAGAGCTTCCCTTGGAAGAACAAGTTAAACTGGAAGCCAGTATGAGCACATACTTGGTAAGTTCACACCTGTTTAATTCTAATAGAATATAGAATATATTTTAATGATATCTTTTGTGTGTTTGGTTATATGTCTGTCTTTGCTTCTTGTCCTCTGCAAGGGAACATTTGATGACTATCTGGAGCTGTTCCTTTTGTTTGGTTATGTCAGTCTATTCTCCTGCGTGTACCCTCTGGCTGCTATATTGGTGGTATTTAACAACATCACAGAGATTTACTCTGATGCCTTCAAGATGTGTCGTGTTTTCAAAAGACCTTTTGCTGATCCAGCTGCAAACATCGGAGTTTGGCAGGTGTGTTTTCATGAAAATGTTTAATTTGTATAGACATTAAAATACAAACCAAATCACTATAGTAAATATTGTACCACATCTTTCAACCAGTTTATCCCATTGAATAATACTTCAGTGGTTGTGAAAATATTTTATCATTCAATTTATTTATAATCAACGTTCTGGAAGCAGATGACAAATACATTTAAACACACAAGACAACTATGATATGATTATTTATCCACCGCAGTAATCCATATGATAAGACTTGGATGGTGATTCTGTGCTACTGGACTACTTGTTTTATTTAAAAAACAAAAAACACATGTATGGAGTAGTATGTATATGTATACAAATATAGAGTGGGGCAAAAAAGTATTTACTCAGGTCAAATCCTACAATGGATCCTGGGTTTTTTTTTTCATTTTGCCCTTCTTAGTTAAAGGAGACATATTATACCCTATTTCAACAAGTAAAACTAGTTCCCTGGTGTCCTAATGTAATGTCTGTGACAAGCTTTGGTCAAAATACCATAAGGATGAAGCACAATAGTAGTTTAATCACCCTGCCAAAACAGCCCCGTTTAGAGCGCTCGGTTTGGAGTGCCTGTCTCTTTAATGCAAATGAGACACAGGCAATCCATCCACTTCTTCCAGGAGGTGTGCCGAAGTTGGCACGCTAACGCCACCATGCTAATGCTGACACTCACGCTACCACGACGTCTGCCACAGATAGGTGGAATAAGCTGAGGTGGGTGGCAACATGCAGGTGAAAGGCTGGAATATTATAATTAGCTAGAGCTAATGACGTCATAAACTACGATTTCTGAAAGCTCCTGATTTATCTCCTGTATTGAGACTGAGGCGGCCCATAAAAATATGACTGAGTAATTTTTTTTCACACTTTGCCTGCTGATAGGCCCTCCAAGGTCCCAAATGTACATAGTAAAATTATTAAAAACTTGGTTTTGCATAATATGTCCCCTTTAAAGTGTACCTATGATGAAAATGAAAGACATCTCTCATCTTTGGTGAACTTGCACAATCAGTTGATGGTTAAATACATTCTTGCCCTACTGTGTGTGTGTTTGTGTGTGTGTATATATATACACACACACACATATATATATATATATGAAAGTGTGTATTTATGTGTGTATGTGTGTACACACAGAAACGCATAATGATACCATCTGGCATTCATTTGTTTATGGACACAAATAACTCCCAGCTGTTGTCTTCCTGTCAAGCTTGCTTTTGAAGCCATGAGTGTGATGGCTGTTGTGACCAACTGTGCACTGATTGGAATGTCTCCACAAGTCAAAGCTTACTTTCCTGACTCAGAGACACAACTCATATTGTGGACCGTGGCTGTTGAGGTAACACACACTCATTATTTTCACAAGGTATTCTCATTCTGGTACACAATAGATATTAAAACAAACACAGGGCCAGAATACATATGAATACTTCCAGCTTAACCCATTTGGAGAACAAATACAGAAATCCTTAGAGTATTTTCAAATAAATCACTTCATACAAAATTAAACCTTTCTCACTCCTGTCTCATGCTTACTTTGCCATTTCTCAAAGTGAGTTTAAGCCTTTAATCTTAACATTAAACACTGAGGTAGCTATTGTTGATCTTCAAAAATGACTACTTACTCTACAAAAAAGAAAAAATATATATATTTACACACATATTCACACATTTTTCATATCGGACACACCTCCATCGATTTGAATCTTACCTCACTGACCACTCACTATTCATTCAGTTGAAATCTGCCAGATCCCAGCTATCTTCACTCTCCTCTGGTGTCCCCCGGGGCTCTGTTCTTAGCCCAATCTTAGTCATAATTTACTTCCTCCTTTTGGTAATTGTGCTTTGTAAATTCACCATCAATTTCCTTTAGTATGCTGATGATACCTAGCTCTACCTCTCCTTCAACCTCTCTACCTACTTCTCTTTGTGACTGTTTACAGGAAATCAAAGCCTGACTTTCATTACACTTACTCAAACTCAACAGTGAAAAAACAGAAATTGTCTTCATTGGGACCAAATCCATCCTTTCAAATACTTCCGGTTTCAACCTTACTCAAATCCAATTCTGTTTATGTGTGGTCGGTGAGATAGGGGTCAGTGAGGCTGGAAAGTTTAATCCAGGCCGCTGATAGGTACAACCCAGGCATCGGTGGTGTCCATGGAACACTGAGGAATAACAAGCCCAGGCACTGATTCCCAATCAGCTGGTTTGTCATGGTTGCCGTAGGGATTGCCTGTAATGCCACGTCCGGGTTTCCAGTTTAACCAATAATTTCTCTTTCAGGTCAGCTGCTCTGTTTTTCAGTGTACCAGTTGAACATGGAGCTTGTTGTTGTTAGTATAGATGTTGGGTATCGAAGAAGAATCCATAGGTCCCACATCCATAATAACCCTTTCACTGGGGTTATCCATCCATCCATCCATTATCAATACCGCTTATTCCCTGATGGGGTCGCGGGGGGAACTGGAGCCTAGTATTATTCCAAAAGCACTCTGTTCTCATCCCTTGTCTATTTGTGCCTTCTTGTTCCAGTTGCCCACTTTTATGTCCTGGTTCTTAATTAATGGACACGGACCGCAATGTCCAACAGCTATGCGATTTATATATCCTTTCCTCTATCCTCTCTCATTTCATAGTTAAATGTTCACTCTGTGAAGGCACCGTTATGTTATGTTGATGCTGTCAAGGCATGTTTTCTTTACTTTAGTATAAAAAGTAGTTATCTTAAAAATATTAAACAAATCTGATAAATTATGTGATGTGTTTTTTTTATTTCAGCATGGACTGCTGGCTTTCAAATTCATCCTGACCTTCATTATCCCAGATGTTCCAAAAGACATCCAGAATAAATTAGCCCACATGGAATTTGAATCGCTGGAAGCTCTTAAGAAAAAGGTAAATTAAGCTTTATCTTTTAATGCTGTCTACTGTGCGGTGGTGGTAAAGCATTTCAAACCTAGTTGTACCTGAGGTCACACAAAGTAGCATTTTGTTGCAGAGTTACTAAAAGTTTTTGTGGTGTTGCAGAATTTACATCTGCAACAATCTTTTCCAAATGGATTTCTGTTTTTTCACTGCCTTTGGCAAGGCTATTTGCTGAGTTGAGTTGGAGAGATGTGGACTTTGCTTGTTCCCCCTGTGTATGCATGCTTTTTGATTCCAGGCAATTCAGTTCCCTCCCACTGTCCAACAATAGGTCAGTTTGTTAACCCTAATCTTAAATTGAGATTAGAGTCCACGGTTGTGTGTCTCGTTCATCATGAATGCTGTCGCAGGCTCCAGCCCTCTGCAGCCTTAACTGAAATGAGCAGGTGTTTCACCATTAAACAGAAAGTTTATACTCTTCACAGATCAAAAGCCTTCACTTGGTTGGTGACAGACAGCCCCCAAGAAAATGTATGAATCTTGCCATGACTCACATAGCTGATTCCCCTTAAAACAGTGTGTTTGAAAGAGATAGCACGGTGTCCTTCAGCCAAAGAGTGGATACATTGAGGGTGCATAGAATGAGTGTGCATAAAAAGTTAAAGTGGAAAAAATAAGCCAGGGAAACAAAAGTTAATTGAGGCAGATATCAAACAAGATATTAAATACCAGATGCAGAAAGAAAATTACTGGTGATTTTCAAACAGTGTTGAATGCCTATTAATCAGAGTTTGAGAAAGTCTCCAAAATGACCATGAGCAGAAAACTTAGACTACTGAAACATAATTTTTCCTCCGCTTATCCAATGGCGGTTGGACTGAAACCAACAAAAATAAGAATAAAAGCAAAATTATTTGAATGCTCAGTTAAATAATCAATACACCTAAAATTAATTTAAAAAATGAGAAATAATTTTTATTCAAAATGTATAAATTATTATATATCTCATCTTGTGTTTAATCTATTTTATTTCAGTGACTGATATTTAAAAAATGATTTTCTCCATGTTTTTATTTAACATATTTATGCTTTTATGTCTTTATTTCCCCCTTGAAGTTTTTTTTACAAGCCTTTTTATGTCTATTTCTTCTTCTAATTCTTTGTCTCCTTATTCTCCTTTCATATGTATTTGTGACTCACGAAAATAAGGTTAGCTGTCCTTCAATCTGTCTCATGGGGTCAGTTTCTGGTCAATCAAAATAAGGTTACAGGAACCATGTGCAGACCATTTACATTTGCTGGTTAAATTAAATTAAGAATTTGAAATGATGTCTCATTATTTAAATAAATTGATCAATTTTAGGTGTAAGTTTATTTATTGGGCCGTTTTCAATATTTCTGCTTTCATTCTTAATTTCAGAGTTTCAGACTCTAGGACAATAGTTTCAATGTCTTAATGGATCATATGAAATGCAGCCATGAGATCCAAAATGAAGAGCACAGACTGTTAGAGGGTATAATAAGATCCTTTTTGTCCTAAGGAATGCCCTGAATCCTGACTGAAATTCTTCTAAAGCATTCAAAATTAGTTTTTTACTGTTTGCACAGGCAAATGCCAAGAAGTCCATACTATGATTAATTCATTTTAAATTGGCAGTTGTATGTATTGTTAGGCATGATTTTCTTTCCACAGTAGGTGTAAGAAGACTTTAACCAGCAGTCTTTCTTTCTCATTGTTACCATCACAAGATTTTGTGAAAAGGTTCATGCATCTCTGAATAAACTTATTTAGATAATGAATACATTTTTTTTAATATATTTATTTATTTATGGCACAAAAGCTTATTACAACAATACCTTGGGAGCCACTTCACCTGATATTTATGTACTTTTTTTGTTTTCATTTGGTCTGAATCAATAATGTAGTTTAGCACTTGAAAGTGGTCTAAATGAATATTCATGTGATCCTTTTGGTCTTGTGTGTTTCAGAAAATGCAAGAAGCCTTGGAACACAGTAAGAGTTTCCAGTAAGGAGTACAGGGGGGCGTATAGATACTGAGGACAGTTCCTCTGTTTACATTGTGTTGCCCGAAGCTGAATTTATGTTTGAAAAAATAACGATGATATGTTGTTTTTTTTTGTATATGTAGGATTTATACACACAGATGGAAATCTAATCCGCTACGAAGAAGCACTTATGTGTTGTCCTCAATTTGTGGTTCATTGCTGATTTACATCTAACATGACATCTACCTGATGTCTGATCAATTAACCAAAGAATTTGAGCTGAGAAGTTAATTAATTCAGCTGCAGGAATTTAAAATAAAGTGTTATGTGGGTTAACATATCAGACTTTTCAGATATATGGTTAACACTGTTTAGATAGGAAGAGGAATTTCTCTGCCTTCTCCTTTCTCTCTGAATAGATCACAGCAAATACTTATCTTATGCTGACTTTTAGCATGTAATGTTACATTATGTAAATTGTATAACACTATAACTTGTTTGACCATGTGTTCTTGTTGCACCCTTGGTGACTTGAAATGTAATGTAAACTGAGTAAACATTTTCTGTGTTCCACACTCACTGTCAAAACCTTTGGAGAAGAACAAGGGAGCTAACAGTTGTTTGTTCCCTACCGTTCTTATCTTGCAATAAATTTGAATTGAATATGACAAAAATTTTTAATGTCATGTTGTACTTTGTAAGTAAAGAATATAAGTGTTTTTCTGTTATTGGTTGAGAGGCGGGGTACACACTGGAGAGGTCACAAGTGCATTGCAGGTTCACAACGTGCAGCTATTGTGAAAGATTCTGCATCTCGAAGCAGACATTTGAGGTTGCCAAACAAAAGGAGTAAACTTCACAGCAATGTAGAATGGGGATCTAAAAATGACTGCCCGCGCAATGCCGATCCAAAGTTTATTCATCCTCCTGTTGGTTGAGAATTCAATGTTTTCCTCCTTTCTTTAGACCAATGAGAAATTGACCCTTTCTCCTGCTTTTCTGGTGAGTAGCAGCACTGTTTGCAACCTGTGTCTTTCTGTGAAAGAACGTCAAGCTTTTGCAGGACACCTACACGAAGGTGGAACTCAGCCCGTGTCATTCAAAAAACTGTGGACCAAGGTTGTATCTGAATCAGCAACTGGAGCAACGTGATGGCAGCCATGTGAACGCTGGTACCATTAAACTTCGTCAGGTTCTCATCACAACCTCTGAGCTCATTGTGTTTTCTTCATAGAAATTAGTGCCTTCAGACTGATCTGTTCTAATCAAGTCGGAAAAGCTGAGCTGGATGTGTTCCTGATAGCCGCACTGTTTCAAATGAACTGCTGTGTGTGCTTTGATCTTCTGTGTAGTGTAGACATGGGAATGTCTCAGGTTCTTCACCTTTGATTTCAGGTCTAAAACGGAGCTGAACATTTGAGCAGAAAAAGAGTGGGATTTCCAGTGTGAATCAACTCATTGTCAGAAACTGATATCAGCCCACTTTAAGCAGCGTTTGGATCATAATGTGCTGTTAGAGAGATTTCCTACATTTAGCAGTGACAAATGACTCTCTGTGTCTTCCAGGTCTTGCTGCCCCCACATCTCCTCTCTTTGTCACTGTCATATTGGCCACTCTGTCCTGTCCTATCTACTCGCTCTGTCTGTTTATTTGGCCTCTATCTTGTATTCCTCTATCCCTGCTCTGTCTATCTAAAGGTTGATTGTTGGTCTCCAAAGATTTATTGGCTTGAGACATTTATTTGGGCTGCTAATGTTGAAATAAGAAAGAGAAATATAAAGAAAACCCTTAAAAATTACAATCTGAGGTCATTGATTGTCTGTTATTTGGCTCTGAGACAATCTATTCTCTCATTTCTCTTTCTGTCTTATCTTTCACACCTGATCACATTGGAAAGAAATTGGAACATTTTCTATTTAAATCACACATTTTCATATTTACTGCTCTTGAAGTATTTGACCAGTAGATTTAGTTCATATCTGCAGTTAAAACACCCAAAAGAAGCTCTGACTGTGATTCAGTCCAGACATTTGGAAATCAGCAGAAACTAAGAGGAGTGCTACTCAGGTACTTACCAGAATTTGTGCTACAATAGCTTATCTTTTACACTCTACTGGTTATTGCACGTATAGTATCATCACTTTTTTTGACAGTTTCTATTACCACTACATCTTCCTGTGTAAAGTGAAAACCAATAAATATTATTGAAATAATCCAGCTCCTTTTGAAAGATATCAGCTGTGAGGAAAAGCTGAGTGTTGGTGGCATCTGAACATTCCAGGTAAGCTTTATAGTATTCAAGCAGCAACAATGCCAAGAGAGAGTAAGCGTTCTCAGGCCCGGAAGCTCAGGTAGCAGAAGGGGAGAGTCTCAGAGTGAGCAGGCTGAAGGTACCAGCTCTCACAGTGTCACAGTGTGCACAGTGTGCACAATGTGCACAGTGTCTCAGGAGGTATCCAATGCAGATGCTGTAAAGACAGGACAGCACACAGATAGTTTGTGTGTTGGAGGACAGCAGGAAAACGACACAGATCCGAGCACTTTGTCCAGCCCTGCAGCCCCCTCTGATGGAAACCCTGTCACACAAGCTGCCCAGCAGGTAAAGCAGAGGTAAAGCAAAGGTGACCTATGCTGACGTGGTGAAGAGGCAGTGATGCAGCCGGACCGTCTCACCAGCACACACTTTGAGTATAGAGCCTCAGCCATGACACACGTCTGTGCTTCACGCAGCCAGGCTTCTTTTAAATATGGGGAGTACAGGAACAGTCAGTGTGTGGCCAACAGTTTGGTGGAACTGGAATGCCAGTTTGCTCCGGTCTGTTTAACTTTGGTACTGCTGTGATGCTGAAGCTTACCCATCTGTGTGACATGATTTGCAGGATAAAGTCGGTCTACAGAATGTTTGAAACCCAGTCCTCTGTTGTGTATGAACTCCAGCCTGTGTTGTTTCACAGCCTGAACGCACCCAGCCAAAGAAATGCTGCCTCACACACGGGATGTACATCTCCTCTTTCACACCAGGCTGTCCCTGAATCAGATATTTTACCAGAAATGTCAACTGCTGTTCAACCAGAGGTCGTATCAACTTCCCATGATGCACATGATTCCAACTCCACTGTTGAAGAAGTGCCTGTTATATGGCTGACTCAGGGATTGAACCCGGGTCGTCGTGGAGTGATCAATTGCATTTACTCAGAGGCACGCAACATCCTGAGCAGACTGCAGGTGTTCCAAGAGGAGTTTGACCTGTCGACTCCAACGGTTCTGCTCAGTGCTTTCACTGGAACGGCAGCATTCAACAACAGTGGAACCACGCTCCACTCTTTGCTCAAGCTTCCTCACAGTCTGAAACCCACGATCCAAGGCCTGGGTAACCAGCTGGATGAACTGTTCAGCGCTCAGATCATCATCATTGACAAGATCTCCATGCTTTCTAAGCCCCACTTTGCTTACGTGGACACGCGGCTGAAGCATTAGGTAACAATAGACTGTTTGGCGGAGTGTTGGTTATAGCTGTTGGAGATTTTTACCAACTGCCCACGGTGAAAGAGTGTTAAACCTCTGTGTGTGCACGAGCCGGTCAACATTGATCTGTGGCGGGAACATTTCCAGATGATCACTCTGAAATCATGAGACAGAAAGATGATGTTGCCTTTACAGATATGCTGAACAGGATTTTGGTGAAAGAAAAGGATGAGCAGCTTTCTTAGGCCGACAGAGATTTGTTATTTCAGGCCATCACTGAGCCGGCCCTTTGTCCCACTGAGGTTCTGCACATTTTTCTTACAAACAATTGGTTGACGAGCACAACTCTGCAGCACTGGCTTTGTTCCATTCTGACATTGTCACTATAGATGCACAGGACTTCCAGAAAGATCCACGAATGGTCAGAATTGCATGCAAAGGGAAGTAGGAACTCTGAAAGTTGCCATAGGAGCCCGGATCATGCTCACCAGAAACATCAATGTCCTGAATGGTGTGGTTAACGGGCCCTATGCTACGCTAACGTGTGTTGTTGCTTCTGAGTAAGGATCCGCGCATCGTAAAGAAAATGTATGGCAATCCTGAGGTGAATGCAGCACTGCAGAGTATGAGACAGGCCAGTGTGGAGCACGTGATGCCTCTTGTTCAGGTGAGACAAGCAGGCCTGACACTTGAACCCTGGTTCATCGCAACACAGAGGGACTTCCATCTCACGTGGGTGACATCCAGAGACATCATGAGCTATGTCTGGCAGATGTGCTGTGTCTGACTGAGAGTCACCTGAAAGGCTCCTTTGGTGCAGACAGTCTTCAGCTGGACAGCTACAAAATGGTCAGACAGAACAGGCACTCGTCCTATACTAACTTTCCTCAGTTGGCCAGCAAACGTGGTGGTGGAGTTGCCGTTTATGCCAGGGACCACGTTCACGTGCGTGAACAAACCTATTTGCACAATGTGACTGATCTGGAGTTTGTGGCTTTAAAGGTTGAGGCTCCATTCAGGGCTGTGACTGCAGCTGTGTACAGACCTCCTGACCCTGAGACCCTTTCCGGAAAATCTGGTAAGCCTTTTGGATTCACTGGAGTTGTTGGATTGTCAGCCTGTTGTTATGTGTGGAGATTTCGTCGAGAACCAGGCAGCCGGCTCCGCGAAGCCAGCTGTTTCAGTTTCGGGATACGTGTAGCTGATCACCTCTGCCACCACAGAGAAGAACACACTGCTCGATCTCATTTTTATTTCCCAGCCACACAGATGTATCCATTCAGGGATCATGAGAACCTACCACAGCTACCACAACCTGGTCTTCTGTGTCCTGTCCACCAGTGAACCGAGGTGGTGAGTCTGACACTTGTGTGCTCCGTGTGTTCCTGTCATTCCCGTTTTGCTTTGATGGTGAGTAAGAAATGACACACTAAGATATTCTGTACTCGCAGATAGTTTGGGAACAAGTTATACAGTAAGAAATGGAATGGTCCGAAATATTTAGGTAACAGATTTGATGGGAAGAAATTATATTGTAAAAATGGCAAAAATGATGGAACGGAGGACGTTTATTCAGTTGTTTCATTTTGTAGAAATAAAGCATATCACAGACATGGCAACTGTTTGGCTTTGAGAAACCCTAAAAGGAATCTTTTACTTTCCACTAACTGTTCGCCATATTTTAGTGTTCTCTTTTGCTGATGGGTTTTCCGCTTTTCATTATCTTTTGGCGCCATCTTCTGGTGATTTTAAAATCCTTGACATTTCAGCTCCTTCAAATTTTTCCAATGTATGTCTTTTTCAGCTTTTCTTTTAGTTCCTCCTTTCAGCATTAGACATTCTCACAGCTGTTCCACAGAAAACAGCCTTTACTAGTTATTATTCTTTATTCCATATTTTTTTTGGGTCGCAAACTATGCTCCCAGTTTTCAGCCGATTTCCAACTTGATGTGAGTAGTGTAAGTCTGCGCTGTAGTGAAGGAATGTAGAGAGATACCTAGCAGCCAAGAAAAAAAAAAACTTGCTCATCAACATGCACAGCTCAAGCACCCTCAAATATAGACAGGAAACAGTTTTTCAGAAGAATTTATTTTCCAAATCCTCTTATCTTGCATGGTTTCCTTGCAGCTCAGCAGAATGTATCACTACCCTGAAATTTTAAAGACAAAATAAGTGGAACATGACCGTGGAGTTGCATGAGAAAAAAACATTTATCAATTTTCATGTTATTAATCTTGGGTGTGATCAACCATTCACATAGGATTTTTTTGGTGCAGATCATGCTGGAAACCTTGGTGCAGGGATTTTGTATTTAACCCAGTTCAAGGGATATTGACCGGACAATGTAATTCATATAACTTTTTGTTCATTTTCAATCAAGGGGCTTTGCACCAACCACTGCATTTGCACTACTGTAATTTTAGATTGGTCCCTGTTCACAGAAAATCAATTTGGTGATTATATAGAATTCTTAAAATAAATTACAAACCAAAACTTCAAAAGGTTAATATTATATGTATCATTTTGGAACACAAGTGTGAATTATGTCAGATCTTAGAAAAAAAAAACTCTTTTGCATAATAAAAGTACCAAACTTTGTCATTTAAATGTTATCTTTCTAAACAAACAGTTTTGCTTTGGTTTTACAACAGCAGTGGTAAAACTTTAACATATACACATAAATCCATTCAGTGACATTAGTACATGCACTCATCAGAAAGGGCAGCTCACGCAATTTACATGACAACCAAAATTCCTAACAAAAAGAGAAAAAAATCTTTCCAATAACTCTGAAAAGCAAAGGGTAACATTCAAGCAGAGTTTGAAACATTGGCAAGGCAGCTCCCAATGAAGTACCCCGTAACACAAAAATATGTATCTGGCAATATTTGGATGCCATGCTAAATGTGACTAGAAGAACAAGAGGTTCTCTAATAAACTTTACACATACATGCATTTCAGCATATCAAAATAAGGAAGGAAACAAATTCCATAGTAGACCTGTTGGCTCTTGTGTATTCCTACGTATCTAGGTAATTTTGGAAATAAGCTGATAAAACGTTTTCATGAATTATCCACACACAATTACCATTACAAATGGGGAATGCAAAAATAAACCTGTCAAAGAGTAGTTTTTTGTCTTTGTACTGCACCTTTAGTCATTTTCTATCTTTATTAGTTTTATTATAATCGAGTACATTCTTGAACAGTGACAAATTAGAAAAAAAAATATTGTGGTCTTACCAATATCCTGAGATGTTACTATTTTTGTTAAGATCTTACAGGAAAAATATACAGACACTCATTTGATCTAGCGCTACTGCATTTTGACCTAAATAAATATCCTCAAATATGCACATATAACAATCTACATATACTCAGAAGTACCAAATCTGTGGTACTCGTGCAAAATAGGACTCAGTTTAGGGAACCCATAATATTTTACTGGAAGTAGATCCAGCATAGCACGAAAATAACCAAAGCTGCTCCAGCACCAGCATTAAACAGGATGGGCCTCCAATACCGCCACTTTTCTAGTTTATTCTCTGCGTCAGTCAATCTCTGTTTCATCTGCTGGACTCTCTGTGTGGTGCTGGCAATTCTCTCCGCACGGTGCCTTTTTCTTATACTGAAAAAACAAGCATGAATTAAAAGCAGTAAAAAATTAAAAAATAATTTAATTCAAAGTTTGTGAAAGTTCCATCAATTTCACCAAAAGCAACACGTTTGTCAAGAACACATACTTAGGAACAAATTTTAATAAAGACATGACATCCAGTGACCATATGTGGAAACATTTTACTCAGTCCCAAGTCTTGAATACATTTTGTATCTGGCAATTAAGTTGATCTTTCTAGATACCCGTCTTTATTTAGTGTGGTTGCATTGTATCTCCTCTTCCCTATTTGTCAATCTTAACTGATATGAGGGGACTTTGGGGCCATATTATTTAGACTATAAGTCTTGGTAGCGGTAAGCATAAACTTAACTGGTAAATAAACAAAACCATTTAAAAAAGTTGTTGAGCTATTACTTACTGTCCAGATTTATCCGCCACATGATGGCCCACGTCACAATCTTTATGCAAGATGATATCTTCTGTTCCCCCTTTTGGTTCTGAACATGGTCCATTGGACAAGCCATCATTGAGGCGAGGTATCGGCAGAGGTAAAGTAGGGGGTAAACCTGGCTCCAAGCCATCCTTGTACAGCACTTTTAATGTGCTCTCCTACAAGGGACAAGACACAACCCAGGGGAAAAAAGATCAATAAAAACTGGAAAGGCAAATAGAGTAATGTAAAAAACAATTCAACTAGGTAATTCAAATTGTTATAAATGCATCACATTTGCATTACAAGAAAAGTTTGGACTTCTGGTGGAACTACAAAAAAGGCTACAGCATAGAATCACACTCCAAAAACTCCCAACATAGTCTGTTTCTGAGAATTGAGGGACAATAGCGTTAGATATCAAGTGGGGCTAGGATTACGACAAGTGGAAAAAAAAATCAAAGCAAGATGGGTGGGTGGTCATGAAAGAACAGAACGAACAAGCTAGGCTAACAACGGAGCTACAAGAGTTAAAAGACTTTGGCGGCAAAAGCAAAGCCTGACTAGGAAGAGCGTTGTAAAACACAGTGGGAAAGGACCGAAAACACATCAGATGTGGATACGATCCTGTGGGAGATAAAAAAGAAATAACAAAAAAAGAATGGCAGGATCAATTAAACGGAAAAGCGCATTGTTGAAACAGAAGATCGTTTTCAGGCTGTGGACGAAGTTATGTTGGAGTTACTATGACTCCAAAAGAAAATTGAGGAGAAGCTGACAGATCAAAAAGGATGCTCCAGGGCGCAAAACATACGACTTCATGGTCTTAAAGAAGGTACAGAGGACAACACAAACTGATTTTTTTTAAAAAGCTGCTCAGGGAACAACTGAAACTCCTTCATTTGCAATCAATGCTGACGTGCGGACACTGCCCATTGAGCAGTGTTCCAAGATGATGCACCTCCCTGATCAGTTTTTTTCAAACTACTGAGTTACAAGTGTAAAGAAGAAATAAGTGTATTGGGCAAAAAAAGAGCTCACGCATAATGGGCAAAGAGCTAATGTGGACAATGATATAATCCTGAAGTGATCAAAATAGTAAAAGGCTAAAACCTTTTCACAAAGGTATCAAAAGATTCGAACCAATTGGACAAGGGGAAAAATTTGGAGCAAAAATAATGCAAGATTAACTAATCTAAAGGTAAAAGGACAATGGTTGAAGAAATGGGAAGCAGCAAAGAAAGGTTCAAGATGAGAAAAACTAATAGAAAGATTATGAGAAGAACTTCAACAGAAAAAGAAAAACTGCTAAAGATAATCGTAAACACAAAGATAAAAACAGAGATTAGAGAATCTTGGAAAGGTTGAGGTTTGAAGAGATCACTGTAAGTGAATAGGAAACAACTGAAAATGCAAAATTGTCACTGTGGATTTCTCAAGGGTACAAATGGTACAAAACTGGAGCTCAAACATCTGAATCCAAGTTAAATGACGTTCCGAATCAAGCTAAACGGTACAGTTTGAAGAATGTCAATGGTCAGGAACAGCTGAGACATGCAAATATCCCATTTATCTATTAGTATTCTGAAGGAACCTGTATTCTCTCCTTCCGTTATCCGACATGAACATTCTGTAAATCAACTGTAATGTTCCTTGTAAAAAGCCTAATTTCAAGTACTGTTCTTTACTGTGAAAAATAGAAATAAAGACAAAAAGGTTGGAAATGACCAGAATTGAGTTTAAGAGAAGCCACTGAGTCTTAACAAAAGGACTGAACTGGAGCTTGAGGTTTAACACAGAGCAGCATGAAGGTTTGTACGTTTGCAGCATTAATTGTATGTATTCCTGTGTGTAAAATCCCTATAAAATCCCTATAAATTATCAATTTGAAAGTAATACAAAAAACTAAGTACATAAACCAATACTTCTGTTTCTCAAGCTTGAATTTTGTGGACCCTGGATTACTTCTGAATTAGGTGACATTACTGAGAAAGTAGATTGCTGTAAATCCAACAGATATACAAGTACAAAACGAATTTTATGCTGTATTCATTTCACAGTTCACATGCACAATGCCCACTGCAATAAGCACATGTGAAATTGATGTGTACATTAGAGTCAATCAGGTAAAAGGTTAAATAAAAAAAGAAATAGGGATTGCAGAACAAGGTCAGAATGAAAATATCTGTGGATTCGAATTAGGCCAAATTACAACGTATGGGGCACAAAACTCAAATAATTAATGAACATCCTCTTGCACAAAAACCTAAATAATTGACAAACAATGTTTAGTAACTGCTGGCTGCTTTTATTTGCTCTTTTACCTTATTGCTAATAACAAACTGACAGCTGTCCCAAAATGAGCATTAAACCTTGTACAAGCACTGCCATAACTCCCAGCTTTTTGACTCAGTTACCTGTGCTGCTGAATTGTATGTCAGAATGAGCTTGGCTCCTTCTATGACAGCCTTGTAGGAGAAGCGGAGCTGGTCAGGGGTCTGGATCAGTCCCATACGATATTCCCTCATGTCCAGTAGCACCCTTTGTATGTCCACTGATGATGGGCCTGTCCTCTTGTTCATCTGCAAAACAAATTTCCACCTTTATACAACATAACTGCAAAGATTGTGTAACTGTCAGGGCTCTCATGCAATGCTCAATTAAATCAGATTGCTTAACAGGAAATGTTACTCTCAAACATGATCTCAGTGTTCTGCAATTTTAAATAAATTATTTCATTGAAACATGGTTAATCAAGATTTTAAACTGTAAACCTGGATAATCCATGTCCACAGAAATGTTGGGTGTTGTTTGGTAAGATGTGACTAACAGGACCAAAGTACTCACTAATTGGCAACAATGACAAGAAACCTGAACTTTATTTGTGCAAAAAAACTGTGAAAGTGTAAAATGTGGGGAAAAAATGTTAACCTAATCTTACCCTGTTAAACTAATTTCAGAGTTAAAAAGGGTTGTCTTTGGAGTGAAGAAGGACCTCTTCAAAATATACTACTAATTATGTTTTTCTCACCCTAAAAACTGTGAAAGAACATATTGTGGATACAGATTATTCTTCATAAGTTAAATGTCAACATCAATCCTTTTTGACACGGTGTTACCATAAATTATTATGTATTAGAATGCTTAAGTTTTTTCAGGCCCACATGGAAAATCAGGACATTAAGTCACTCCAAAAGGTTTGAAGTTAAGAAAAAAACAACAAACACATCTTCCCAGTAATCACATCCATCTTTTCAACCCAAAGGTAAATATTGGACATGTCATGCATAAAAGTGTGATACCAACATGCCACAACCTCTCTCTTTTCAGCTTTGAGCACAAAACAGAATCTCAGCATGTACAGTTCTTCTTACTCAAAAAAAGTATTTAGAGAAATACTTTAACTCTTTGATGTATGGGAAAGCAAAATTTCGCTTACTTTCACTTTAATACTGCATTTTGTGACAATATTAACCACACCCCCCACTGCGCACCAGGACCAGGCAAGTGTCCACCAAGGCAAAGGTCCCAGAGCGTCCAATCCCAGCACTGCAGTGGACTACCGGGGGCCCATACTCCAGGCCCAATGAGCCTGACTCTCGAACTTTGAAGAGGAAGTTGAGGAAAGAAGCAGGGGATTCTGGTACACCAAAGTCAGGCCACGTGGTATAGTGAAAGTGGTACATCTCTCTTGATTCTCTGGTCTATAAGAGAAAAAAAATGGATATAAGCAATAGCAAGAGGTACAATTCTGAAATAGTGGGCTGTCTTGAAAAATGATTCGACTGAACAAGAAACAGAAGTCAGAGTAAATAAGCAAAACAATAACTAAGATTTCTAGCATTTTATTGGGAAAAACATAAAACGGTACTAAGATTCATATCATTTTATCTATCTTTTTAAAAAAAATAAAAAAATAAAACGGTATGCAGCTGACATACTAAAATACCTAGCTTTACAACAGTGCTTGATTGATGTTCTCACTTTTGTGTTTTGCAGTTCTAGCCGTCTGATGATATAATGGAACTGGTCCTCCTCTGACAACAGTCTCACAATGAACCCTGTATCTGTGAATGACAGTTGTAGCTCCTCTACGGTGGGCCAGTACTGGGCACACTTTTCCTGTTCAGGCAAAAAAAGAAGGAAAATGTTTGCTTACACTTGGGTATGAGGTTGTGAGTTTCAAGAGCACAGTCAAAAATATAGAGGTACTGATAAGACAAGAGATGGAGGTACAGGAAATGGAGGAGGAACTGGAAATGGTTAAGGCACATGGCTGTGTATAAATAGAGAACCTTCGTGCAGCAGAGTCTTTCATAGCTGTGCAGAGGCTCTGCCATCTTTAAAATTGTTTATAGATGATTGAAATTGAAATGAAATTGTCAGGAATTTACATATTGAATCATCTATAGCAGGGTCACCAACACGGTGCCCGCGGGCACCAGGTTGCCCGCACGGACCACACGAGTCGCCCGCAGGCCTGTTCTAAAAATAGCACAACTCAATAGTGAGCTGCGTCTAAAATTTCATTTTGTTCCTTTGCTATTCTTTTTTTAATCACACTTGCATTCATATAGATTTCATTTAAAATTACAATATCTTAAAAATATGTTCATTATATATTACGTTTAAGTTTTCTCTAGTTCAAAGGTCAGTATTGTGCACGTGACAAAATAAAACTAGTGTCAGTGGAGAGTAAGCTAGCGGGCGCAGCCGAGATGGGTGCAGTTTCTTACCCCAAAAACATGGCCGAAAAACGAAAGAAAACGTATCACTTTCACAACGAATGGAAGGAGTTTTTTTTTAAGACTGTAAAAGAAACCTGCGTGTGTCTGATTTGCGGGGCAACTGTGGCGACGGCAAAGCGGCACAATGTGGAGAGACACTTCACTTCGGGCCACAAAAGCTAGCATGCTAACTAGCCACTACGGGCAGAAAAAGCACATCTGAAATATGCTCTCACAGTTGCAGTGTCAACACCAGATTACAATGCACTGGTGGACAGCATGCAATGCCAATCTGTAAAAGATTTGATCATGAGATTTCAGATTTCTTTTTAATATGCGAGTTGATTTTTCTTTAACATTAGATAATTGATCACTTTTTGAAACATGGTGCAACATAGTTCATGATCTGTTAAAAGGTTTTGTCAGTGGCTAGTGAAAATGAGTGAAAGTGAAAACTCCTATGTAAATGTAGTGATGTACAGTAAGTGATCATCTGAAAATTTGCTGAGATAAATAGAGATAAAGTGGTGGATATTGATATGTTTCCCATTTTGTTGTCACAGGAGAGTATCATTAATGATTATTAATAAAGTATAACTAAAAGCATATTGAGCAAATGTATTATTTCAGAAGAGTGTATCAAACTGGTAGCCCTTCGTGTGACTCAGTACCCATGAAGTAGCCCTCCGTTTCAAAAAGGTTGGTGACCCCTGATCTATAGCACAGCCCCACACAATATCCAGAGACACTGGAGACATTTCTGTGTACAAATAATACAAAATAGAAATTTTCATGTAGTAGTTACACTTTACAAGTGAAGAAAAGCTGTTTTGATATGCCAAACATGGTTCCCCAGCCATGCTACACATAAAGTTGGCTTGGTAGGATCATCTGAGTAATGATAGCACCATATGTAGAGTTAGAAGAACCACAATGCTGGCTCAATGGGTGTAAACACACATGCGGCAGGTTTGTCTTGCTACATATACATCTCAGCGGTGTATAAGCAACAGATAAACTTTGACCTCCTCTTCTGCCTCTTACCTTTCACACATAACATGACATACCATTAAAGAGAAGATGTCCACTGCATGGGAATGTAAAGCTAAGACCAGCATGAAACTGACTTGACATTGCTATTACTGCCAATAAGGCTTCATAATTCATGAAGCCTTGAGGGCAACAATCATGTTCATGTTTTATGGCGATGCACCATGGTAACTTAAAAAACATGGCCCAAAGTACAGGAGTAGTTTCTCTTTCTTTGTAGGTAAAACAAGTTTGCATTCTCAACCACAGACTTCAAACATGAAACAATCATAAATGCAAAAATGATAGATAAACTACAAAGGTGAATCTCAACACCATGTTGACAGACCCACTATTCCAATTCAATCCCGTCTCCAAATCCAGTTCTCAAGGGCCGTTATCCAGGTAGTTTTAGATTTTTCCATGCATCAACACGTTGGATTAAAACTGATTAGAGCTCTATAAAAATCTAAAGTTCTAGACAATTTTGCCGATAATGTATTGATTTTAATCAGGTGCAAACAAAGCTATAAACAGGTTCCTGAGCAGCACTCCCCAACCCCTGAGCCTTGGAGCAGTACATTGGTCGTTTCATACCGGGCCTCACAGAAAGAATAAATAAGTTACACTATGTCCGTTTAATTTTACCATCCAAGTCTCAACAATGAAAAATGACATAATTCTTCCAGTTACATCCATCAATGACTCACTATATTGAGGTATGTGAAGATGCTCGTCTCAGTCATGTGATACATTTACGCCAATATCAAACACATAAGCTAGAAAAATCTGTTAAAAAAAACTAAACAGAAAGTTTTGGAAAGGTTCTTTGCAAAGGGGAAAAGGCCCATTGAAGAGACAGTTTCATATGACCACTCAAAGAAAAATAAAACTCAATTTGAACAAACAAAGTGACTTAAATATTGAATTATTGAGACAGGTGAATCCCATGCACCAAGCGCACTCTATATAATATGCAGCAACAGGTTAAAGTAATAGGTAAAGTTATATAAAAGAACCCAGTGGATTCCTGTTTATAAATATATTTGCAAAATACCAAAGTGTTTGTTTTGGTCATATGATTTTATTCTGCTGTATTTCGTCGCCACATCTTAAAGGACTATGAAAATGACATTAAACCAGTGCGTGACAAAAAAAGCTGGAGACCACTGTCCAAGAGCAACATACAATCCCATCCAGAAAACCTGATGTCATGGGGACTGGACCTCAAAGTAGATAGTTATCTTATTTTCTTTGCCACACATGGCTGCATAATAAATGTCATTGAACTATCACTGGGTTTTGAGTTTGTTAGGTGAAATAAAAATATGGAGAAAATAGCTAATCAATCTTGAATACAAGTAAACACAACCTTAGAGGAACTGTTTACAAACCGTTATATTATCTGTAAGAACACACAGTTATATGCAAATTGTGCTAACAATTGCCAGACAAAAAATACATTTGCAGAAAGAGCTTAAAAGGTTTACTCACTGATCCTTTTTCTATCACTCTGTTGAGCATTATAACAGCTTTGGAACACTGCTCCCAAATCATCAACCAGAAGTGCCCACAAGTATGCTTCAAAGGACCCTATGAAAGCAAAAAGAATAAATAGTCATATTACTTATATAGTGACAAGGTAGTAAACACATTTATAATATGCGGGCGGCAATTTTGATCGACCCTCCAACATACCTGAGAAAGAATATAAGCTCTTTGGGCTTCTTTCACAGTGACTAAACTTGCATTGATGTAGTCATTTTCAGAGTTTTCAAGTTTTACCCTACTGTGATCATCTAAAGCCAAATAAGAAAGATCAGATCACAAAGCACTTACAGAAAAGTTACCCCTACAATCATATCTACAGTAGTTAAATAAATGAAAATATGTTACTCCAACAAACATATCTTCATTAGTTTCATACATGAAGATATGTTACTCCTACAAACATATCTGCATTAGCTTCATACATTTTTCCTATGACTCACATGGGTTGACATCTCGGTAGCGGTTCAAATTTCTGTTCACTGGATGTTTTGCTACTTTGTATGGATATTCACTGGCTTGATTGCGGATTTCCTATTGGAAACAGGCAGATAGATTATAAATTAGTTAACTACTGTATACAAACTATGACGTGAATTCATCTCCTGCCATATTGAAGTGTTGAAAGCTGTCATGATGGCATGATTTAAGTTAAAAGAAACACACAAAAAAAATGGAAAATCTTCATTACATTGACTGTATTGTGTGTGATGCATTAGATCTGCTCTGCTTTATCCAAGCTAGCATGTATCAGTGGTGTAATGTAAATACATTAAACCGCTGTTCTTGTGTGTGCATGAAATGTATATGCATGAAAATAAAAACTCAACCCAACTCGAGTATGTTGCGTTTGACCTATCGTCTCAGTTTAAACGCCTCCCACATTAACGATAGCAACAAAACATCTCATAGCATAATTTCCTTCGGTTTAGAGCTACATACTACTGGGCAACGGACAACTTAAATCCAGAGAATATACACCTTTAAATAAATCTAAAAGCAAGACTGCGAGACACAGCAGTCATGAGCTTTTCTCTGGAAAAACTGACTAATTCTCAGAAACTGCAGCTGACGCTTGCTAGCATTAGTTAGCATTAGCTAACCGAGGGCTGCCGGGATGGACGACTGAATTGCACGTTTACCAGCTACGGTTTCTCTAATATGCACTACAATTAGGTTCACATATTAAAACAACATATGCAATATTAACCAAATAAATACATACACAAAAACCTGAATGTGCCTAAGGGGTGGCTTTTTGTAGATAGCTAATAAAGTTAGCAAACAATCGTCAATAAACACAAGAGGCCCAAAATTCCGACTTACATTGTAAAGATTTTGCCATCTCCCGGATGAATCAAAATCCTCAAATTCTTGCTCCATGTGTCGTAATTAATGATGCCAAAACCAATTTAGTAAATCATGTGCGTTTTCAGCACTGTTAACCGATTTACTTCTCTCTGTCAGCCATCAAAATTTCAATGCTTTTGACCCTCTACATCCCCTCGGTAACTCGAATGCTTCTTCACAATATTGCACACGCGCTAACTTGGGTTGCCAGTTATGTGTTTACAGCAGCGTAACACGGAAAACAGTGCTGATACTCAACCACACAACTACTAAATATTTTAAAATTTCCATAATACTTTTACCCAGTATTGATGAGTAAATATATGTTCTATATAGCTATTTTAGTTGTTATTAATATCTGAAACAATTGGGGGGGGGGGGGGGTCAAACATCTTAATGGTCATATTTCATATTTTTAGAATAACGTTGGATCGAGATAAAAATGAATATGTAAAAATGTAGATTTGTTTCACCCTATTTTTTCTATTCCAGGCTTTCATCCAATTAATAGTAAGCCTAGCGTAATATAAATGTAATATTGTGCCAAACTTGGCAACCATCTTGACTGGTTCTGTGATGAAATAAGCACAAGACATTGAAAGCGGCATCTACCCTGACTTAGCCAAGCTCAGTCAGGACTTTTAAACTCAAGTGTTTCAGTCCCAAGTTCTTAATTTATATGTTTTATGATTCACCATCTGTTACAACATAACCACAAGTTCCTTTGTCTTGTCTTGTCTGCTATATTCTACTGTTATATACTGTAATTTTCTTACAATGCCTGTTTTTTACCAAAAAAAACTGGCAGCTGTGGTTGCCAGAATAATCAATCCATCCATTGTCATTACCACTTATTCCCTAACAGGGTCGCGGGGAGAACTGGAGCCTATCCCAGTGGCTACACCCAGGACATCGCAGGGCCACACACAAGACATACAAGGACTTACACTCACATTCACTCCTAACAGCAATTTGGAATGTCTAATTAGCCTACCATTCAGGTTTTTGGACTGTGGGAGGAAGCTGGAGAACCCAGAGAGAACCCACGCAGACACAGGGAGAACAGGCAAACTCCACACAGACAGTCTCCCTGGACTCGAACCCAGAGCCTTCTTGCTGTGAGGCGACGGTGCTAACCACCACATCCTCGTGCAGCCCTGCCAGAATAATGTTGTAAAACATACAGTAGAGTGTAAAGCACATTATAGAACAATCTGTACATTTTACAATGTTAAACTGTTATCCTTTACAAAATAACATACAAATTATCTGCTAAACTGGTAAATTCAACATTCCTTTTCAGTCAAATTAGAAGAGAATGTCTTTATTAAAGTACATTTTTCCTGTACAATGTGCATACAGAGGTTGCTTATCTTAAATCTAATTCCATTCAGTTTTACAAAAAAATCTGTAAATAATCAGCATTATCAAATGGTCTAAGCCTAATTATAAGACAATGTGGTGGTTAGCACCATCGCCTCACAGCAACAGGGCTCTGGGTTTGAGTCCAGGGCGACCAAGGAGTCTGCATGTTCTTCATGCATCCGTGTGGGTTCCCTGGCTTCCTCCCACAGGCCAAAAACCTGCATGTTAGGTTGAATTGGACTTTCCAAATTGCCATTAAGTGTGAGTGTGTGTGGTTGTGGTTGTTTGTCCTTGTATGTCTCTGTGTGGCCCTGCGGTGGACTGCCCAGGGTGTACCCTGCCTCTTGCCCATTGACCACCGGGATCGGCTCCCCACGACCCCATTAGGGAAGAAGCGGCTACGAAAATGGATGGATGGACAACCATCCCCTAATGGGGTTGTGGGGGGACTAGAGCCTAACTCAGTAGTCAATGGGCAACTCAATTTGAGCAAATTACATAAGAACCATATTTTCATTATAAAGGTCAGCTACCTTCTAGATGCCCAGATTGTAATTCCTGGGTCTGCTTGACTAGAATGGATATCATTGTTACCAGAAATTGATGAATATTGCATTACTTTAGTAATTTCTCCTAGATAGGCAAGGCATTTTTCAAAAACCAGAGTATTTTTAAGAAAGAGTTTTTTTCTAATGAACTTCCGCTTGTCTGCAGATTATATGTAAAGATTTAAAGGGAAGTTTATTGAGCAGGATTCAATCGAAATCCAAGATGGAGGATGGTTCCTCTCAATGTAGGACATCCCATTCTTTTGTCTTCCCTGTGTCCATTTGCAGGAATTCCTATTGGTTCTCCACCCAGATTGCCCACAAGAAAAAGTTTATTTTGTACAGACATAGCAGCTGGTTGTATGGTTTTGCTGTCTTTCTTTTTTTTCTTTCTCTCTCTGTCTAATGGATCTTTCTCCTTTTTGGGTTTGTTTTTCTTTGCTCTGCTTTCTTCTCTGTCCCATTGTCAGGTTTGGCATAATTGGACACATGTAAAGTTTGGTAACAAAAATAGATAAATAAAGCAGTTTTGGGTAATCAAGGAGGGCTCCTCACCAACAAAGCCTCCCGTGGCAAAGCAAATGTGTTCAGCATAGCACGGTACCCAGATTTCAGTTCTGCAGTCATAATGCTGAACAGAACAAGGTAAAAAAAAAGAAATAGGACATCCCTGCACTAATCTGAGCTGCCCAGTAGTACCACAAAATACTTGGTCATTGTAAGCCACCTCTATCATATGGGAGATACAATAGGAATAGCCTGAGTGGGACATTTCTTTTTCCATAAAAAAATTGAAAAAGATTTTTAGGTGTGAGGGTGGAGGAGCGAGTGGGATTGATTGGAAAAGATAGAACAATTTGGGCACCATTGATAATTTCAATTGTGTGTGTGTGTGGGGGGGGGGGGTTTTTTAACACCAAAGAGCGTAAACCCTTTGTGTGAGACAAGGAAGGGAATGGGATTTGGGGGGGGGGGTTCAGTCTTTCCATTTTGTCCATGTATAATATATAAGATTTAGTTTTATTAACTCTGTAATTCTTTGCGGGAGCAAAGGACCCAAGTTATTTATCAGGTCAAGTAAAGCCGGTATAGAATATTTCAAGGTGGAGCTGAACAATACTGCATTGTCAGAAAACTAGGCTATGCTGTGTTTGAGGCTGTGTTGTTATTCCTTTAAAGGTGGAACTATTAAGAACAGCCATGGCAAGTGGCTCAATGGCCAAAGTAAACAATAACAGAGACAGGGGACAGCCCTGTCAAGTTCCCCTGCACAGATTGAAGGGCGTTGAAAACAGTCCAAAACTACAGCCTGGGGATCAGCATAAAGAAGTCTAATCCAGAGGGGCGCTGCTGAGCTTTCAATGGAGTGACACGTGCGTTTGCGAGCTCCTGCCAATTTCGATTAATATTGTTATTCATCTGTGCTTTTTAGTCACATTTTTGTGTTATTTTTACTTCTCAACACTTTTTGTTAAGAATTGTAACTTTGTATCACGTCAGGATGTCAGGAAAAAATACAAAATCGCGTAATACGATCCAGACGCAGCTGAGGCCTGGTTTACAGACCGCAGCCCCGCCTTCAGGTGAGCCGCCAGGTTCCACCGAAGCGCAGGCTAGCCCTGACGCCGCTGCCCTTAAATTGGAGCTAATGACATCGCTGAAAGAAGACATCGCCGAGATAATAAAAAAGCAGTTGCAGGAGACGCTCGGGGATTCTTTGTCGACTATCCAGCTTGATCTACAAACCGTGAAAACACAGCTCGCGAATAATAAAGCAGCTACTGATGCTACATTAGCCGAGCTCAAGTGCACCGTGGGAGAAGTGGAAAACGCTGAATGTTCCGATGACATTGCTGTGATGAAAGCAACAATCAGTAGCCTGACTGTTAACGTTGCCAAGCTCGAAAATAAATGCGAGGATTTAGAATCCAGATCACGGCGTAACAACATTAGGATAGTGGGGGTTCCCGAGGGCCCTGGTACGTGTGACACCGCTGCTGTATCTGCCTTGCTAATGGAAGCGTTCGCTTTGGAAAAGGAGCCGCTTCTGGATCGGTCACATCGGACCCTTCAACCAAAGCCTCAGCCAAATGAACGACCACGAGCCATTGTGTGTAAGCTTCATTACTACAGCGACTGTGTTGACATTTTACGCCGTGCAAGAGAGCTCCGTCAGATTCCACTCAGAGGTATGACGCTCTCCGTGTTCCCGGATTACACTGCCAAGGTGGCCCGGGCCCGGGCTGCCTTCAACGAGGTCAGGAAACTACTCCGCGGCATAGAGGGTGCTCGTTACGGACTAATCCATCCAGCACGTCTCCGCATTACTTTCAAGGGTGTTGAGAAGGACTTCATCTCAGCGGATAAAGCCAAAGAATACGTCCAAACCTTAATTTCTGGGTGAACATTATTACTTTTATATTGCTTTTGTATGCAATATTCTATTGCTGGACTATTGATAATATTACTGTGGATTAATATTTGTTGGGTCACTGTTACTCTTTGATGTTCAAATACTTATGACCCTTTGTAATTATTTTGATACAAGGCAGAAATATATTTATATTTTTGTCACCCTGGATTATACTTTCGTTTTTTGTTTTTTTTTACATAGCGCATGTTTTGACTAGATGTTAAGTTGGCAGGTTTTTTAAAAACTTTTTTGTCTTTACTCTGCACCGTCTCTGTGTTGTCTTCACTCTAGCGTGGGCAAACTTTTTTGCTGTGTGAACACTGCTGTCTCCATTGTTCTGTTCTGTGTTTATATGGGGACTTTGGGTGTTTTTATGTTGGGGATGTTTTGGGGGAGGGAGTCCTGTCTCAGCTTAGTAATATTTTTCTTGACTTTCTTTTATTCAAATGGTTAATAACAGTTTAGATCCCAGCACAGCTGGATCAGGCACACCTCTTAGATTTATTAGTTGGAATATTAGAGGTATGGGCAATCCTGTCAAGAGGTCTAAAGTTTTTACACACTTGAAACGTCTGAAATGTTCTGTAGTGTTCCTACAGGAGACCCATCTTAGAATTAAAGATCACCACAGACTACGCTGCCCTTGGGTGGGGCAAATCTTTCATTCAGATTTTAATTCTAAGGCAAGGGGAGTGGTTGTTTTAATTAGTAACAGAGTTCAATTATACCCCAGTAATGTTATAACTGATAAGGATGGTAGATACTTGATAGTTGCTGGTACTCTAATGCAGAGAAAGCTTGTGTTGGTGAATGTATATGCTCCAAACTTTGATGACGCTGAATTTGCTAATAGATTATTAAGAAATCTGCCCTTTTTGAATACCAACTTGTGGATTTTTGGAGGGGATCTAAATTGTGTTTTTGATCCAACTTTAGATCGCTCTAGTCCCCGGAATTTAACTCAATCGGCCATGTCGCTAACATTCTCAGATTTTTTGATTCAAAATGGTTTTATTGATCCGTGGAGATCTCGTAATCCATCTAAAAAATGTTTTCTTTTTTTTCCCCGGTGCATAAATCTTATTCCAGGATTGACTATTTTTTTATTGATAGGGCTCTTGATTCTTTTGTAGTTTCTTCTGATTACTTGGCTATAACTATATCAGATCATGCACCATTGTTATTGGAGATTCAGTTTTCTACTTACAAACGTAGCCCGCCTCTTTGGAGGTTTAATTCTCTTTTATTGGAAGAGTTTTGCGATTTTATTTCAATTGCGATTGACGAGTTCCTTTTCTTTAATCAGAATGATACTACATCGTATTCATTGTTATGGGAGACATTTAAGGCTTATCTTAGAGGACAAATTATTTATTATTCTTCACTTTCTAATAAAAGACTTAATTCTAAACTTAACGAATTAACATCTGCAATTAGGGAATTTGATCAAAGACATGCAGGAAATCCCATTCCAGAACTGCTTAAGCAGCGAGCAAATTTGCAAGCAGAATTTGAGCTAATTTCGACTAAAGAAGCAGAACGCTTGTTATTACATAGTCGGGGTTTATATCAAGAACATGGCGACAAAGCAGGTCGTTTACTGGCACACCAGCTACGGCGTCAAGCTGCCTCCCGCCTGATACCTAGCGTTACAAACACTAGTCACACAACTACCACAGACCCTTCTGAAATTAATGCTATTTTCAAAACATTTTATTCTTCGTTATATAAATCAGACTTTCCTGTAGACAGAGCTAATATGGACACATTTCTTCAAAACCTTGATAATCCTGTTATTGATGCAGACACTGCCAGGACCATGGACTCTCCACTATCCCTGGTTGAAGTATTTAATTCAGTCAAAGCTATGCAGTCTAATAAAGCCCCCGGCCCTGATGGGTTTCCTATTCAATTTTATAAGAAATTGGCACCATTACTTTTGGCTGTATTTAATGAATCCTTTAAACAAGGTTCTTTACCACCAACACTGACACAAGCCACTATAGCTCTCTGTTACGGCCCCTGGCCTCGTGAGGCTGTGCATGCTCCGTTTCTTCTGTTATGCAGGACCAGCTGAGAACACCCCTTCTGATTGGCTGCCTGGAAGCTGCAGGAGTCGCAACCATTGGATCAGCAGAGCATGGCAAGGCAATCAGATGCTGATGAGCCTCACCTGCACGTTTAAAAGGCTCCTGAAACAGTCCTTCAGGGGGACAGCTAGTAGGAAGAGGTTCTGTAAAGCTGTTCCCCTACCTCTTGTTTGCTACGGCTCTGTAGGAGTCTTGGAACTGTGTTTGCTACAGCTAAAGCAGCTTGTTTGCGTTTGCTGATCCAAGCTTGTGCTAGGGAGGTTTGGTGCTCCCTTTTGGATTTGGATTGTTTTGAGTTACCTTTAGACTGACTTGTTTGAACTTTTGTAATTTAATTTGCACTGCGCATTCTTACCATTGGTTAGACAGTTTCTTTTGTTTCAATTGGGTTATGTTGTACTGTGTTTTGGTTCTGTGAAACCCTCTTTTGTAATCAATCTCCTCTTTTATTTCATTCCTTTTCTCTGGACATTTTTATGTTGCCGCCCCTGGACCCCTAGACCTTGGGGCCGTAACATAAGTGGGGGCTCGTCCGGGATTTCCGTCATCTACCTGGTGGATTGTGTTTTGGTCAGCTTCCCAAAATAGATGGACGGGGCTTCCGCTCTCAGATGAATCAAGAGCAACGGGCGGACGAACCCGAACACAAATTTGAACCCCTGATTCGTCCGCCATTCTCTGTCAACGAAAAAACTGAAAAAACTGAAAAAAGACTCCACACGCGACAGACACCAGTATTGGCTGCACCGGACCTGACCAGACCATTTAAGCTAGAGGTGGATTCCAGCGCTGTTGGGGCTGGTGCGGTGCTAATACAGGAAGATTTGCAGGGTTTAGATCATCCTGTTTGCTATTTCTCCCGCAAGTTCAACAAACATCAACTGAACTATTCCACCATTGAAAAAGAAACCTTGGCTCTATTATTGGCTCTTCAGCACTTCCATGTATACCTTGGGTCCGGTAGTTTGCCGATCGATGTTTTCACTGATCATAACCCCTTAGTTTTCCTTTCTCGCATGTATAACCACAATCAGCGACTTATGCGGTGGGCTTTACTTCTACAAGAATACAACCTAAACATTCAACATAAAAAAGGAACAGAAAATGTTCTTGCAGATGGCCTTTCCAGGTCGTGAGTATGGTTTTTATTTATTTATGTGTATGTGAAACTTAGTATTTTACAAAACTGGGTTTTGTAATTTAAGGGGGGGAGTGTTACGGCCCCTGGCCTCGTGAGGCTGTGCATGCTCCGTTTCTTCTGTTATGCAGGACCAGCTGAGAACACCCCTTCTGATTGGCTGCCTGGAAGCTGCAGGAGTCGCAACCATTGGATCAGCAGAGCATGGCAAGGCAATCAGATGCTGATGAGCCTCACCTGCACGTTTAAAAGGCTCCTGAAACAGTCCTTCAGGGGGACAGCTAGTAGGAAGAGGTTCTGTAAAGCTGTTCCCCTACCTCTTGTTTGCTACGGCTCTGTAGGAGTCTTGGAACTGTGTTTGCTACAGCTAAAGCAGCTTGTTTGCGTTTGCTGATCCAAGCTTGTGCTAGGGAGGTTTGGTGCTCCCTTTTGTCTTTGGATTTGGATTGTTTTGAGTTACCTTTAGACTGACTTGTTTGAACTTTTGTAATTTAATTTGCACTGCGCATTCTTACCATTGGTTAGACAGTTTCTTTTGTTTCAATTGGGTTATGTTGTACTGTGTTTTGGTTCTGTGAAACCCTCTTTTGTAATCAATCTCCTCTTTTATTTCATTCCTTTTCTCTGGACATTTTTATGTTGCCGCCCCTGGACCCCTAGACCTTGGGGCCGTAACACTCTCCTTCATAAAAAAAGACAAAGACCCAACTTTGTGTGGGTCCTACAGACATTTATCACTGCTTAATGTTGTCAAAGTCTTGGCAAAAATAATTGCTTCTCGTTTGGAGAATGTACTTCCCCTGATTATTTCTGAGGAGCAAAATGGCTTCATAAAGGGGCGTCAGTTGTTTAACACTCGCACACTTTTTAATATAATCTATTCTAAACATTCGGCTGAACTTCCAGAGATATTTGTATCTCTTGATGCTGAAAAAGCATTCGACAGGGTGGAATGGGAGTACTTGTTTGCTGTTTTGAAGAGATTTGGATTTGGTGATGCATTTATTTCATGGATTCGTCTTCTTTACTCTTCCCCTAAAGCTTCTGTTCACACTAATGACACTTTCTCTGATTATTTTGCTCTTGGACGCGGGACTCGTCAAGGGTGTCCACTATCGCCTTTACTCTTTGCTATTGCCATTGAGCCTCTGTCTATAACTTTACGATCCTCTCCCTTATTCAGAGGGATAACCCGAAATGCGATCGAACACAAACTGTCATTATATGCAGATGATTTGTTATTATATGTAACTGATCCTGCTTCTTCCCTCCCCATCATTTTGAGTATTCTGGAAAACTTTAGCTCTTTTTCAGGTTATAAATTAAATATGGAGAAGAGTGAGTGTTTTCCCGTAAATAGTGCTGCTTGTGATCTCCAACAATCCGACTTACCCTTTAAGCTTACTTTCCCTGGGTTCAAATATCTGGGTATTAATGTGACACGATCTATATCTGGCCTACTAACAGCTAATTTTACCCCCCTTATTTCGAAGATAAACTCAGATATTCAAAGATGGCGTAGTCTCCCACTTTCATTGATTGGCAAAGTCAATGTTGTCAAGATGAATATTTTACCAAAATTTCTGTTTTTGTTTCAATCAATACCTCTTTTTCTGCCCAAAACTTTTTTTGATTCTTTAGATAAAACAATTGCCACTTTTTTATGGGGTGGAAAGCCACCTAGGATCCGTAAAACATTTTTGCAAAGGTGTAAACTTAGTGGTGGACTTGCATTACCTAATTGTCAGATATATTACTGGGCTGCTCACATCCAAAAACTCTGTGGCTGGTTGGAATCTCCTCACTCCCCTTGGTGTAAATTAGAACAATCATCTTGCATAGGGTCCTCTATACCGGCTTTGCTATATTCTTCTCTGCCTACAAAACCTTCTCTATATACAGACAATCAAGTGGTACTTAACACCCTTAAGATCTGGTATCAGTTTAGAAGGCAACATAAATTTTTAACTGCATCTTCTATGATTCCTTTAACTAACAACCACTTATTTCCCCCATCTCTTTCAGACTCTCTCTTTTCAGTTTGGTATGATAAGGGTGTTAGACACTTAAAGAATCTGTATGTTCGTGGTGTGTTTGATAGTTTTACTAATTTGTCCTCTAAGTATAATCTTCCGGGCACTCTTTTGTTTTTATACTTTCAGATTCGTAGTTTGGTTTCAAAACTTTTTCCCAGTTTTCCTTCAATCCCCCCGGAGTTGCCTTGGGAAAACTTGCTTTTATATAACCCTTCTCAGAGGAAATATTTCAAAGATATATAACTCAATTCTGAAACTAAACTCTCAGTTGGATAACAAAATTAAGAAGTTAAGTTAAGTGAAGATCTCTGGGAAGATGCAATTGACAGAATACGGTCTACTACCTCTTGTGCTCGTCTTGGTCTTATCCAATTCAAAGTTTTACATAGAGTCCATTTCTCTAAGTCCAGACTCAGTAAAATCAATCCAGAAATTGAAGACAAATGTGACAAGTGTCAGGACTCTCCATGTCATCTTAGTCATATGTTTTTTTTTTTGCCCTGACCTGGCTGCTTTTGGGTCCGGTTACTTTACAGCTATGTCTACTATTCTCAAAGTTAATTTGCAACCTTGTCCACTGACTGCTATATTTGGGATTTCTAATTCCTTAGTAGTATTAAATTCAAAGCAAAAAGATATAATAGCCTTTACATCTTTAATCGCAAGACGTTCAATATTATTAAACTGGAAGTCTGCTAGGTATCCCTCCATCACCCAGTGGCTTAAGGACATGATGTTTTTTCTTAAACTTGAAAAAATCAAATATACAATGAGAGGGTGTACGGACAATCTTTTCCAAAAATGGCAGTGTTTTCTTTCTTATTTTTCAGATTTGGAGTTCCTACCTAATTAAATATGTGTGCCTGTTGCTGTACTTTACTGATGTTTTTTTTCATTATTATTATTATTATTATTTTTTTATTAGTATTATTATTTATCTTATTTTTCTGCTGAATGTGTTGGGCTGAGACAGGGTGGGAATGGGGGGGGGGGGTGTTCTCTTCTTTTATTGTTCTTATTTTGTTTTGTTTTTGTTTTTGGTATATGTAGTAGGTGTGACTACTTCAACATTTATACTTGTATTTATATATGAGAAGTTACACCTGCACAAGTATGTTTATCTTAAAATAAAAATAAAAAGTGAACTGTATTCCTTATTGATATTATCTTATTTGTTTCAATAAAAATAATTTGAAAAAAAAAAAAAAAATCAGTCTAATCCAGCAAAGAAATTTCTCCTTAATGCCAAATATTTGAAGAACATCTAAGAGGTAGTCCCACTCTCCTTTGTCAAAAGCCTTCTAGGCATCCAATGACAGGACAGCATTGTCTGTACATCCAGATTTTTCTAAAACAACATTAAGCACGCTTTGTATATAGTGAAAGCCTTGTCATTTGGTCCTGAAAAAAGCCGTTTTGGTCAGGGTGAATAATTTGCGGGAAAGATGTTTCTAACCATCTAGCTAATACTTTACACAGAATTTTGAAATCATTCTTAAGAAGAGGGATTGGTTGATAAGATCCACATAGGGTAGACATCTTCCCAGCCTTTAATAATAATGTGATTACTGCCATTTTGAGAGTGGGAAGGAACCCAGTGAGTGACAACTGAATGAGGCAGAGAAAACACGGTCTGGCCACCTCCTCCTCACTACATCTTCAAAGGTTAAGTGTGCCTTTTGGAGAAAGATTATTTTAGCTTTTAGTTTTTTTAAAATCCTATTCATAACTTGTGTTAGCGTCGGTTCTTTTATTGAAAGTCGACAAACAGACCAGAGAGCTCGTTAACAATACAAATAACATTTATTCAATTCACAAGTAAAGTAATTCAGCGCTGGACACAATGTAAAAGTGATCGAAGATGATGCTAGCACAAATTCAATTCAATCCAATTTAATTTACATAGCGCCAAATCACAACAACAGTTATCTCACAAGTTATCTCTTTCCAAAGAGAGCAGGTCAGACAGTACTCTGAAGTTATTTACAGAAGCCCAACAATTCCCACCAAAAACAAGCACTAGGTGACACAGGCAAGGAAAAACTTATTTTTAAAAAAAGAGTGCTAACTTCCACGTTTGGCTCACAGATATCTTCTTGGGCTGGCGATGCCCCATACAATAGACTGGACTTCACAAGAGTCTCATTGGCCAGTTACCTTTCACGTGATAATGCCAGCTTCCTGTTCACATGATCGCTGATTGTGCAAAAGAACATAGACAAAAGAAGTGAATGGGTGTAGTGGGCTTGTACCTAATGCAGCATTCCAAACTAAAATATTTTTTACAGGTATCAGTGCCTGGAACAATTAAAGAAACAAAGAACACAGAGTAAATACTAGCACAAAATTAAATAACTAAAAGCCAATTACAAGACTTGTTTAAGCTTGACGAGTTTGTTTAAACCTTTTACGATCCAAGAAGTAAACTGAAGTTCAGACATGTTATGGTAATGTTTGTAGAGTTTATCATTTAAAATAAATCAAACTTAATCAAGAAAATGTAAAATACATACCTTAGAACATGAATAGAACTTAGTAAACGTCCCTAAGTGAAATGCACACATACCTCCCCAAAGTCAAACTTTCAATCAGCACCTAGGCAGAGCCCAATTATGGATTCCACCCATGTCCAAACAATGAGGAACATCCTGCCCGTCGATCCCGACAGAGCACCATGCAAAACATTAATGCAAAATACACTGTGTAGTCTATTATACTCAGAAGTAGCTACTTTAATGTATGTCAATTAGACGGTCTCCAAACAGTCCTGAAACAAAATACCTGTACTGCAACAGGATTTCCCCCATTGCTACTCAGTGATCAGCGTTGTCTCACCTTGCCTCTGATTCCCGAGCATCAAACTTCAGTCAACGATACTCCATCTTCCCCCGACCGTCACCGGTAGTGACCAGGGTGAATTATTCCGTAACGCAGATCAGGGATGCTGAGGGAAGCCAGTTCCTTCTTTGCAGTGTAAAAAAAAAAACGTTTTTTCCGATCAACACAAAGGTCGGGGAGAAACATAACCCTCTGATGGTTTACAAGTAGCTTTCATTTGATCCTGGCCGCTTTCATAGCTCGTACCTTGTCTGCGTAGTTCAGGAAATTCATCATCACTGCATCGCACCACAGCTTGATTTCCATCCTTGCTGTTGATTCTGCTAGTCGAAGAGCTCTTTAAATTAGCACTGGGCTCAGAGAGTTGTAGTCACCAAGCACGTCAGGGATCCACTTTTCCAAAAAGGCACCTTCTGTTGATTCCAGTAGACCCATGGACATATATTGACGTATATATGTCTATGCCATTCGAACCTTGAACTACAAATGTAATGGTCCTTTTACACGGTGTCGCTTATTATTACGTCAGTACGGAAACCCAATATAATCCCTTCAAATATATCTTTCTAAATGAGTAAATAAATATAGAGATAAAGCCCCCCTAAATGGCATTGATAATGTACTTGATGTGAGTAATTTAACTTTAAGGTACAAATATGATAGATTTTTGACAGTTATTTTTTTCAGGCATCTACTAAGACGCATTCCCGCTTGCTTTTTCGCCAAAGTTTAAACTGGCAGTTATCGTACTAAAAGAAGGTTGTATGGAATACGATATACGCTCACAATTATTAAGCATATGAAAAACAAGGAAACATACAGTCATCATAGTTGTTTTTTCCAAATTCCATCGTTGGTATCTTGTCCATCTGTTTTGGTTTTTGGAGCTAATCAGCTGTAATGTCTCTCCCTCCGGCGAAAGCTTCTGAGTTGAAGCAGATCATACACGATCGTCTACTTAAGGTAAGCAAACAACATAGCCTGTCAAAAGTTTCTTATAAATCTGCAGATACTTAGACATATTTTTATAGTTGTATTTGTCCTGTTAACATCTATTGGTATTAAATTAAGTAGGCTAAGAGATGCAGAGTTTTTTCCCGCTTGTCAGATGGATATCCATGGGAGGATTAGAGAGGTGCTCTCTGAGACTATGGAGGATGATCGAGTAACAGCACATCGGCCTCTGTCAGAGGGAGACTTTCTACATGCTCTGCAGTGCCGGGGCATCATAGATGAAGTGATGAAAGACCTTCAAATTTCCGAGGTTTCAAGGTTTTTTCTTACGATTTTAAACTTTAAAACCCAATATATTAGACCTTCCTTAATCTATTAGTATTTACAACACATCCGAACCATTCTCAACTCAACTCAACTCAACTTTATTTATAAAGCGCTTTCAGTCATCCGAACCATTAATAACCCAATTAGTTAGAATTGAAATAGAATGAGAATGTTGTCAGAATTGAAATGAGAATAAGAATGTTTACTTTATCCTTTGTATACTAGAAGGAGCCTGCTACAGATGTAGGATCAGAATCTCCCTTCAAGTCTGTTACTCATTTTGTTAACAAAGATAAAATTCCGCTGAAAAAAAGTAAGAAACATATCTTGTAAATCTAGAAGAACCAATTCAATGGCTCTGTCTCTAATTAGAGCCTGAGACTAACAGAATTTAGGGATGTCATTTAGTGTTTGTTTTTTCCTGTCTTGTAGCTATTATTGATCCATCACAACGATACCTCTATCTCCAAGTACTTGGGGGTAAAGCATTTATTGAACACCTCCAGGACCCAGAGCCATTACCTGGTCAAGTGTGTTCAACCTTTACACTTCACTTGCATTTTCGCAACCAAAGATTTCACTCAAAACCTGTGCCTTGTGCCTGTGAACCTGATCTTAAGGAAGGCTTTATCTTAGAGATCCACAAAGATGGCACAGGTAAGAGAAAACCCAAATTTCTGTATTTAGTCACCACTTGATGTTTTTTAAATGTAATTTATATTTTAATATTGAACCTTTGAGTTTTTAAATAAAAATAAAAAAAACATTTTTTGCAGGAGACGGTAGTAAGATGGTAGATGCAACCACCATGCTGTCACTGTGCGACCCTGCCCACCTGGTTCTGATTAAGACAGACACAGCCAGTGAGACAACACTGGTCTCATCCTACTTTCTGGACTGGAGAACAGTCCTTAGCTCACAAAGTAGCAAAACCTGCTTTGCTGTGGAACTAATGGGAGTTGGTGAGCAACCATGTTTCATCTGCTGTAAATTCTTCCTTTTTCCTTTCATAACTTACTGAATATGTAATATTTAGTAAACCAAAAGTAATTAATGGTAATAGTTCCTTTTCTGGGGGAGCATTTTATTCACCATGTTTGATTTGCATCAAGGCTCCCTCTTTGTACCTTGACTAAATGATTTTGAGTTAACTAGAAGTCAAATTTGATTAACATGGAAGTGGGAAACTTCACAATGGAGATACTATTCTAATTCAGTCGATTTACCAAATCAAGCGACAGCATCATACTAATTGTTTGCTCTCTGTGTCTTTAAAGTGTGATCTTTGAATGAAATGGGCTACAGAGACTCAAAAGGGGGGCAGATAAGGTTAGGAGGCAGGCAGTTGGGGCTGATAGTGACAGGGCCCATAATGTATGGTTTTGTTTATCAATTTTTTTAAAAATAGACTATTTTAAAAGATGAAAATGGCGTTCATGTTATGGTAGTCATTGGAGCTAGAAAAGAAAAATATAAAGTATGTTCATATATTGTTGAAGTCCTTCCACCAGCATTTACTGGTTCTACTGAATTCTGCTGAAAGTCATATGAGGTGAATATATAATAAATCCACTATTTGTATTTGCATGCAACCTTGTATACTTCATCTTATTTACTTGACAATTATTCTCTGGCTCAAACAACCAGCCATAGTCAGGTCAGGGCTGTAGATTAAAGAGCTACGGTAAAGTATTCTTAATAACTGAATGAGGAAAAATATGTGCGGTTATACTTCAGCTATGCATGGACATTTTGTTGTACCCCGAATCCATTAATGTTTAAAATATTATTATTATTTGCATTATATATGTATATTTATCACTAAGTACTAAGTTTTTAAACAATTACATATTTTCCTTTCCTCATATTTGTATTTTGAAAGATCTTTAAGTAATACCTTTGTATTTTACCAGGAAGTGAATGTAAAGTCCCAGCTGGTATTTTGACTGTCAGTCTGGAGCTCTACCCTCCTCTCTCGGAGACTCTTAGCTTTGACATCATCAGCACACAGGTTAGCACAGTAGATTATTTTTCAGTCTATTTGATTGTATCAAATTGTATCAAAAGATTCATAAAAATTATGGGTTAAGCCACTGAATCTCAACTGCGAAAGCAAGTGCTGAGGAAGATTCATGTACAGTCATGGCCAAAAGTATTGAGAATGACACAAATATTATATGTTCACATAATCTGCTGCCCTCTGGTTTTCATGTGTGTATGTCAGATGTTGTCATCACATACAGGAATACAATCAATGCTTGAATTTTGTCAGAATTCCTAGGTTTTTGTTTTTCCACCCGTCTCTTGATGATTGACCATACGTTTTCAATGGGATTAAGTTATGGGGAGTTTCCAGGCATGGACCCAAAATCTCTATGTTTTGTTCCCTGAGCCAGTTAGATATCACCTTTGCTTTATGGCAAGGTGCTCCATCATGCTGGAAAAGGCATTGTTCATCACCAAACTGCTCTTGGACGGTTGGGAGAAGTTGCTATCGGAGGACATTCTGGTACCATTCTTTATTCATGGCTGTGTTTTTAGGTAAAACTGTGAGAGAGCAGACTCCCTTGGCTGAGAGGCAACCCCACACATGAATGGTTTCAGGATGCTTTACAGTTGGTATGAGACAAGACTGGTGGTAGTGCGCACCTCGTCTTCTCTGAAGAAGCCGTTTTCCAGATGTCCCAAACAACTGGAAAGGGGATTCATCAGAGAAAAAGAACTTTACCCCAGTCCTCAGCACTCCACCCCCTTTACCTTTTTCAGAATATCAGTCTGTCCCTGATGTTTTTCCTGGAGAGAAGTGGCTTCTTTGCTGCCCTCCTTGAGACCAGGCCTTGCTCCAAGAGTCTCGGCCTCACAGTGCGTGCAGATGCACTCACACCTGCCTGCTGCCATTCCTGAGCTAGCTCTGCACTGCTGGTAGCCCGATCCCGCAGCTGAAACACTTTTAAGAGACGGTCCTGGCGCTTGCTGGTCTTTCTTGGGCGCCCTGGAGCTTTTTTGGCAACAATGACGTTGAAATGTGTTTTGAGGGATAAAGTTCATTTTCTGGGTAAATATTGACTTTGCAATTAATTGCTGTTATGCTGAACACTCTTTTTAACATTCTGGAGTGTATACAAATTGCTGTTATAAAAACTGAAGCAGTAGACTTTGGAAATATTAACTTTTGAATCATTCTCAAAAGTTTTGGCCATGACTGTACAATGCCACTGAGAGTCACTTGAGTATGGACCAAAAAAGTATCTGTCCAGAGCTAACCCGCATTCAAAAACGTTAACATCTCTTGTGAAATTTTTCCAGGAGCTTTTAAAGTTGAACTTTTGAAAGTTATTCTATGTCTAAGAATATATAAAAGCTTAAAAAAGAGGTTTTATTCTGTCCAGTTTTAAGTGCAATTATCCATCCTCTTTTCCAAATGTTAACATTTATGCTCCCCTAAAACTGTTTAACTTTGGTTTTCAAAACTATTTCCCACAAAACAGTAAGTTATGTAACAGCGGCTTTTAAACCGTCTTTTATACAATCTGTCGTTTATTATTTATGTTTCATTATTCAAGAATTAGCTCAACCACTGTGAGCCTGTAGTGAATCATTACAACAGAGCTCCATTATATTCACAGTAAGAGAAAGTAAAGCACTGAGGCATTAATATCACTATGCTCCTTGTTTAGCAATCACTTGAGAGACAGAAAACAGCAGACAAGGAGAGGCTGTTCTTGGTGTATGCTAAACAGTGGTGGAGAGAGTTCCTGGAGATCCGACCATCTCACCAGTCCAAACTGGTCAAGATCTTTGCACAGGTTTGTTTTTGTAATAAAAAAGAATGGATGATAAAAAACAACATTTTTGAAAAACTTTTTAGGGTGTCTTTTACATTTTGGCAAGACAGACCAGTAGAACAGCAGGAGTTTATCCTTCCTTGATCAGTGAATTTGTAGAACGACAACATTTTGCTTGTTAGGAATGATCATCACTTTATTGTGTTAGTTGTTGAAAAGAGGATTTCTTAGTAAAGATCTCATATTTGACTTCATCAATTACATTACTGCTTGGTTTCTGTCACTACTTGATGCAGGATGAGAACGGTGTCAACAGACCAGTCTGCTCTTATGTGTCTGTACTTCGGGCTGGCCGCCTCCTGGAGAGCCCTCGACAGGCAGCCCGTTTTGTCAGTCTGCTGGCCCATGAGAAAGCACCTGTTGTGGGAGGGGGTGGCAGCAAGCAGGAACAGTGGTGCACATTAATGGCTTTCATGTGCAGAGGGAAGGTATGTTCGTTGTAGCCCAGTGACCACCAATTGCTTGTAAGAAAGTAAACAGTTTCATCATCCTGCTAAAAGGCTATAGTTAAATGTGTAGAAACAACACTTTTATCTAATTTTGAATTACTATGGATTTTTCTGTAGCAAAATAAAATTTAATTGTTAATTGACAATGTTCTTGTGCTTTTACAGACATGGGCTAGACTTGGCCATCAAACAGGCCAGGGTAGTAATTTTGTAAATTAAAATGACTAATTCATGGAATTAAACTTCCATTAAATTATAATATTTCAAGATGTGCTTTTTCATACACATTGTACTCCAAAGAGCCTCAAAGAAAAACTAAACGCCTCTTCTGCCTATGGAAATTGTCATCAAATAATACATGTTCAAGTCGCAAGATTTCAGAAATTGTAATCACACATTTAGATGTCTTGCAAGTGGAGCTTGCTGAGGGTTCATTATTTTGAGAAGAGACATGGAGTTCTATGAATATGCCATAACTTTGAAAGTCCAATAATATTTATGACCTAAACATAGCCTGATAACAGCATGTTGAAACACACAAAAAACAAAACATTTTACAATTATGAAAATTGCATAGTTTAGATTTGTATATGTCCTTCTGAATCCTGTTAAAAAAAAAATATTATTTGCCAATTAATAGGGAGACTGTGAGGACCATGCAACCCTGCTTTGCAGCCTGCTGCTGGGCTTTGGCCTGGATGCTTATGTGTGTGTAGGCACCAAATCTAAGGGATTACCACACACCTGGGTCCTGACCCGGGGTACTGATGGGAGTATCACTTTCTGGGAGAGTCTCACAGCACATAGGTCAGATTTTAGGTCAGATTTTTCTAAGTTATGTTTGATATCCTTATAACAGAAAAGGCTCTGAAGCCTTATAGTCAAATTTTCCTTGTAAGGATGTAGTTAAACTTTCTTTTTTACATAGTTTTACTCACAACAACTTATTTTGTTTTTTACCTTTATTAGAGTGGGTGTGTATATGCATTTTATTGTAGCCAGAACTCAGCACCATAAAGCAATTTTTTCCCCCATTTATCAATAAACATAATAAATTGCATTGTAAACCATATTATTGATTACAAATATGTCATATGAGCTGTATATAGTCGGTTAAAGGGGTTTTGATGTTGTCTGATCAGGTATCTGCACCAACCTATTGATCCAGATTCCCCACCAATGGCCCCTCAACACAAACAATCTTCGCCATACCGCACTGTAGGCTGTGTCTTCAACCACCAGACTTTCCTGGCCAACTGCCAGCCCTCTGATGCTGTGGAGCTCTGTTTGTTTGACTTTCAGGTTGGAGCCAACATTTCTCCAAGTTGACCAAAAATATAACTAGTTTAACTAATATTGTATTGTCTATCGTCACATTTATTTAAGATGTTGAAATGTCATTGAATCGTAACTTTAGATTTTTTGTGTTGGCAGTAATTTAATTGACAGATTGTGACTTTGGTGAAAATAGTGCTGTGCCAATTTAAGGATGGTCTAACCCAACTTACTTTTTCTATCTAGTATTTATAGATCTCCCTGAAGCTTTAAACTATTTATAGAGGGTACACTGTGCTCTAGATGCATCATAAGCAGAAAATTAATTGTTGCAAACAGACACATACGTCTTACTTTTTAAAATGAGGACATCTATAAAGATATCCTCACTGAACAGCAGAATTATGTGCTTGTTGCCCCTAATAAACTCAAAACCAATTAACATTTGCCAGAAGAGCTCATCCGGAGTCTTTACAGTGTCATATGACATAACAACTTTATCATAAAATAATATCCAATGACATAAGTTTGGATAGTTTCAAGTCAGTCAGGATAAAGGAAACTGCAACTTGTTTGGAGAGAACATACTTGATATTGCCGTTGTCAATCATCGCCACAGGAGCCAGTTTCTACACAGTAAAACAGAATCAGTAAAAATTTAATTCAGTTAACAGTTTCTGTTCTGTCATGTTGCCCTAAAGTGAGACAGGAAACTCCACAGTTGTAGACACAATAAGATGGGTTTGGTTTGAGCTTTATTTTGACTCCATTTCATTCAGAATCCGTCGTGCTGGAAAGCAATGAGTGAAGAGGCTCTGAGGTCTGTTTGTGCCCCAGGCTCCATCACCTCACTACCCCCTCTGCCACCTCTCTGTGCCCCATCCCTGGATCCGGCAGCAACTAGCAACCGACTGGAGCTCGAGATGCGCTACTTGATCTCTGAACACAGGAAGGTATTCAATTAAAAAAAATATAGACACATAAGGCTGGACTGGGTGAGTTTCAGCTAATGTTTATTTTATCTATGCTGTGATAAAAACAAAACCTGCATTTTTGTATATATTTATGTAAATATAGATATTTATATCAAACATCTGAATATATGGAATGAATCTTGAATATTTGGAATGAAAGTCATAAAGGAATTATAGGTAATGTGGTCTGTGGTCATAAACAGAGGGGGAAAGTCTAGAGACTTTGCGTTTTTATGCTATGATGAAGTCGCTACATTAAATAGTCTGTCTGTCTGTCTGTCTGTCTGTCTGTCTGTCTGTCTGTCTGTC